TGGTTCATCAACATCAACTTTCTAACATCTTTCTCTCTCCTCTTTTCTCTCTCATACACATATTGTAGATCCAAATGAAAATCAGTCAGGATCTAAGAGCCTAAATCAATTAAATTGAAACCATAAACAATAGTGCTAGTGATTTGAACGAACTTGAAATCCAAATTAGAACCCCATACCTGGTAGAAGAACCCTAGATCCAGATCACAATCGATCAAATCCAAATTAAACTCACCCAGATCTAAAAGCCCTACATCAAACAGAGAGAAGCGCATATCGAAACTTGATAGTCTTTAAAATCGATTCTTCTTCGAACTTGAGAGCGTTCAACATATCGAAGAGGGACAATTTGAACTAGATGAGAAGAGGGACAGAGCCGATTCGAGAGAGAGAGAGAGAGAGAGAGAGAGAGAGGCAATTCCAGAGACCACAGAGAGAGGGAGAGAGAGAGAGAGAGAGAGAGAGAGATTGCAAGAGAAAAGTGAGAAAACTAAATAAGTATTTACAGATAGATTGAGAGAGAGAAAGAGATTGTGTGTGTGAGAGAGAGAGATTCATACTGCTCTTGTTCTTCATATCACCATGGCAACAGAGAGAGATTGAAACAGAGAGAATGATGTCGAGAGAGACAACATTGAAGGAACAAAGCATAAGAAAAGGGGCTAGGGCTTGCATATAAGAAAAGGGCCTAGAGTGCAACGTACGGTGGTGACAGTGGACAGACGAGAACGGCGGACGGCAACGTTGATGGTGAGGTGGGGTGAGGTTTGGTGGTGAAGGTGAATCTGTATGAGAGAGAACAATCTGATTGGTTTAAACAGAGAACAGGCGGGCAATTAAATGGTTTCCCTCTAAAATTTTCACACCTTTGGCAACAAAATTGGTTTTTGGTCGGCAAATAATATTATTTGCGACCAAAATATTTTAGTCGCTAAAAGTTTTTCTTCGACTTTTGCCCACCAAATTTCAATTTTGGTTGTAGAAAATTATATTTTGGCAACTAAAAAAATATTTGTCAGCAAAACTCCAAACCTTTGCCGACCAAATTTTTATTTAGTCACCAAATGAAAAAATTTTGCGACTAAAATAGTAAATTGGTCGCTAAAAATCACTTTTTGGCAACAAAATATTTTTAGTCGGTAATAGTATCAAGTTTTAGCAACGAAATTTTTTTTGGTCGGCAAATGTCAATTTTTTGCGACCAAAATATTTTTAGCCGGCAAAAGTGGTCGGCAAATGTGTATTTTCTTGTAGTGGGTGGACAACTATACTCTTTTATTAATGTGACATGTGTGATGTGATACTCCAATGTGACAAGTATTAATGTGACACTCTAACGATGTGCCATTACAAAAAAATTAAAAATTTCTCAGTATACTTTTTTCAAATGTGACAGCGTGGTGGGTATAACTTGATACTCCAAAACTTTTACTCAAAAAAAACTAAAAACTCCATAATGTACTTTTCTCAAATGTGACAACGTGGCAAGTATAATGCGATACTAAAAATAAAATAAAAAATTTCTTAGTGTATTTTTTCTAAATGTGACAACGTAGCGGGTATGATGTGATACTTTAAAAAAAATTAAAAACTCCTTAGTGTACTTTTTACAAACGTAACATGTGGTACTCCAACGTAGCATGTATAATGTAACACTCTAAAAAAAGTAAAAACTCTTTAATAAACTTTTCCCAAATGTGACACTCCAACATGACAGATATGATGTGACATTAAAAAACTCCTTAGTGTATTCAAATGTGGCTGACAAATGAATCATTACATATCCAAAAAGACTAAATAAATCACACAAAAAAAATATAAAACTATATAAATTACAAAGACTTATTGATCAATCTCACATTTTTATTTACATTTGACTAATGGGATTAAGCATACCAGAGTAGCTGGAAAGATTGGACCGTGCTGTTTGTAATACTGAATGGAGACTTCAATTCCAAGAAGGAGAAGTGAGGAACCTTCCAAGGACATACTCCGACCATTCTCCTTTGATCGTCTACACCGAAGGTATTATTAATCCTACACCTCTTTTTAGACCTTTTAGAATGGAGGCTGCTTGGTTCACTAATCCTAGTTTTAGAAGTTTAGTTGAGGAGTCTTGGACGGCTGTTGATAACTTCGTCCTAGAAACCATCCCCTTGATTACTTCTAAAGCTTTATTTTGGGATAAAAATATTTTTGGTAATATTTTTTGAAACAAACGATGGCTTCTTGGTAGAATTGAGGGCATCCAGAAAGCTCAATCTGCTAGGTTTTCTCATAACTTGTTTCTTCTTGAAAAAGAGCTAATTCACGACTATAATAAAATTCTTTTCCAAGAGGAATTAATTTGGTTTCAAAAATCCTGCAGTAATTGGATTACCATGGGAGAACATTATACTAGATTTTTTCATATGGCCACTTTGACTCGTAGAAGGAATTCACGAGTTAATACTTTGAAAGATGGTGGTGGCAATTGGATCTCTGATCCTTTTATTTTGAAAAATCATGTTGGGAGTTACTTTGAGGAGATGTTTACCTCCACCTTAGCATCTTCTGAGCCTAATTGGGTTCGTGGGATGCTATCCAAGTTCACGTTGGATGAGAATATTGAGCTGTGTAAACCTATCTCCAACAATGAAATCTGGAAAGCTATGGAGTTTATCAAAGCCTTTAAGGGCCCAGGTTCTGATGGTATTCAATCTCTTTTTTATCACGCCTATTGGGATATTGTGGGTTCCTTTGTTTGCAACTTTGTTAGGACTTGTTTCTCTCTTAGAGATCTTCCCCCTAGCGTTAATACTACACTCATCACTCTCATTCCCAAGGTTGACAACCCTGAATCTATCAACCGATTCAGACTCATCAGTCTCTGTAATGTCCTTTACAAAACTCTTACCAAGACTTTGGTTAGCAGACTTAGAAATCTCCTGGTTAGAGTGGTCAACCCTAATCAGAGCAGCTTTATCCCTGGTCGAACCACCAATGATAACATTATTATTGCTCAAGAAATCATCCATACACTCAGATTCAAAAAGGGCAACCAGGGTGACATGATTTTTAAAATTTATCTTGAAAAAGCATATGACAATGTTTCTTGGTCCTTTCTGCATGACACGCTGGTTGATTTTAATTTAAATCAACAGTGGATTGATCTTATTATGAATTGTGTGACCAAGGTTAGATCTTCAGTTCTGTGGAATGGCGAACGAGTACGTGAGTTCCATCCTAAGAGGGGACTCCGTCAAGGTGATCCCCTCTCCCCATATCTCTTTGTCCTTTGTGTGGAAAGGCTCTCTAACTTGATAACTACTAAAGTTAGTAGTGGTGAGTGGAAGAGTGTCAAAGCATCTTCTAGAGGCCCTGCTATCTCACATTTGTTTTTTGTCGATAATCTCCTTCTTTTTGCTAAGGCTAATAATAGTAATTGTGAAACCATTTTGGAAGTGTTAAATCACTTCAGTGATTGCTCGGGTTTAAAAGTCAACCTTGCTAAATCCACAATTTTTGTTTCTCCAAACTTGCCTCCTACTAAGGCTAGGTTTTTGAGCAATGAGTGTGGTATCCCCCTTACTCAAGATTTGGGTAAATACCTTGGTATCCCACTTTCTACATAATAGGGTGAGCAGAGCCCACTTCTTATCTATTTTTGAGAAGCTCCAAAAAAGGCTGACGGGTTGGAAAGCTAGTATGCTTTCAGTTGCTGGGAGGGCTACTCTTATTAAGTCTGTTAATTCTACTCTCCCCGCTTATATGATGCAAACTACGGATGTACCCTCGAAGGTGTGCAAAGACCTGGATCAACTGAATAGGAACTTTCTTTGGGGTGATGTGGGCACCACTAAGAAAGTTCATTTGGTTAAGTGGGATTTGGTCTGTAAGAGCAAAAAAGTGGGTGGTCTTGGTATTATAAAAACCAAGAACAACAATATTGCCTTACTGTCCAAGCTGGGTTGGAAACTTATTAATGGTGAGCCGTGTTTTTGGGGCACTGTTTTGAAAGCTAAATACCCTAATGGGGAATCTCTTCTTAACTATTCTAGTAAGAGAAGGGCCTCTCACACTTGGAGGGGTATTCTTAAAACCCGTGTTACTATTTTGAAAGGCTGTATGCGGAGCATTGGTGATGGGTCTAAGGCCTCTATTTGGTTTGATTGGTGGTGTGGTGAGGGTCCTTTGGCGTCTCTTTTTCTTCAATCTCACCACTTTTAGCAACAAAAAAATTGGTCGCTAAAAGTCTATTTTTGGTCGGCAAAAGTTGGATTTTGCCGACTAATTTTTTGGTCGCTAAATATTTAATTACCGCGACTAATTAATTTTGTCGCTAAAACACTTTGGTCGCAAAAAAACGCCTTTTGCCGACCAAATTTCTTAGTCGCCAATTGACACATTTCGCGACCAAAAAGTTTGGTCGCCAATTGTGACAGTTCGCGACCAAAAATTTTGGTCGCCAACTATGACATTATGCGACCAAAATTAGTTTGGTCGCCAATTGTTACTTTTCGCGACCAAAACTGTTGGTCGGCAAAAGTGAGTTTCCACGACCAACAAAATTTTTGGTCGGCAATAGATGTATTTTTTGCGACCAAAACTCTTGGTCGGCAATTGTCATTTTTTGCGAAAAAAAATAATTTATTTGTCGCGACTAATAAATTGGTCGCCAAAGCAAGAAAACAATACACCTGTAATTCCTAATAATTCATTCAATCCATAATAAACCTATAATTTTAAAGCATCATTCAAATTAACTGAATCATTAACATTCGACACAATACATAATTCATTAACATTCGACACAATACAACTATTCTAAGTTTTCATTCACAAGTCACATCCATCTAGCATAACAATTTGAAACATAACTATTTGTTATCCATGCACAGCTATCAACAAATAAAACTACTAATATTTGTTATCCATACACATCCATCCAAAAATATTTAATCCTCCCAAAAATGCTTATACTGCCAAGTAGTCTTGTACAATTTAGCTTCGTGAACTTGTTAAGAAATATATTGGGGAGGGTGCTCGTCTGGTTCGTGAACTTTTGATCCACTTTTCCTAACTTTTGATCCGCTTTTCAATGATGGCCCCATCGATATTGTTTTAGCCACTTCAAATGTTTCTGGGAACAAAGAAAAATTATGTCACTATGAAACAACACTACCGAACAAAGATAATAAAACCTCAACAAACTTCACTACAACATACCTTGAAAAGCCCCAGAGTGCTTTAGTCGTTCAAGAACAATAGCTAAGGCAGGTCCTTGAATATCTTTCAAATTCTTGGTCACCTAGTCATGTAACAAGACAATAAACTCAGGAGTTCTGCTAGTTTTTTCACAAAAACCAAAGGAGGCACCAAAAATTTTTGTCTACATACTGCATCAGGACCACAGACTCTGAAAATTTCACCAATGCATACTTCAGCTGCTTTACGAACATCTGCTGATTTATCCTATATATAAATGCAAAACCAAGCAATTAAATAAAGTGATAAAAAAAATGATGAGTTATTTGCCCTTAAATTATTTTTTTGAAAATTTCAAATTTTGCAGCAGTAAATACTGTCATAGCAGAAGCAGTTGGTTTTAGCAGATTTACAGCATTAGGAAAATTGCTTAATCCACTAAGTTGCCTTGATAGCCAATCAAAAAGATCCTTGCGCCCTTCCGTGCCAAGCTTCGCATCCATCAAAGCAGTAGTGATGTCAGGCACCTAATAAAGAAACAGAATTGGAAAAAAAATAATCAGAGAAGCATGATAGTGGCAGCAACACTGGATTGCAAACCCGTATAAGAGACCTCTTGTAGAGTCAGTGAAGAAAATCTTTTGTATTTAATATGAAATGAACTTGACTGCATACGCCTACTTTAGTTTTGGGAAATGGATGTACAATCATTAGCAGCATTTCCGTCATTATATAGAACCTTCAATTGTGCCATACGGCATGGATACAGAGATATACACATCTATGAAAATGTGTGGTTCGTTAATTAGTTTATTAATTAATGTATTAATTGATGATGTATCATAATTTAAGAGGTTTTTGAAATTTGTAATGTGATTAATATATGTGATCAATAATAATATCATAATTAATATTAGCGCTCGAGCGCAAGAAGACCCGCTCGAGCGGACTGCCTAAAAACTGGGCAACAAGGAATTGAAACTAAGGCCTAACCAACCTGTAACAACCCTGCTCAAAACATCCTAAAACTCAATCAAGTGGAATTAAAGGATGACAACAGATAGATACAACTACCAACTTCACGAAACCGAGTCCGGAATACAACAGAACAGTAGAGGGACAACCGGGATCGCTATACTTTTTCGCATTGCTCATGTTGCATACTAGCTCACACGTCTAGGTTGCGTTGCATTGACATTCATGCTTAGCCCCTTGAATTGAGTATGACAGAGGTTGAGTTCCTTGCTTGTTTATGTGCATTTCATTTGAAATCAAAGTGCATAACTTGGTTTCTTGGGCCATCACGCATCGAAATGCGCGATTGGTGGTTTGAGAACCGAGAACCATGTCCCTTTGAGTCATAAACATGATAAGGGATGTGTTGGTGCACACATTTGCTTGGAATGCATTGCCATGCCTTGTTTTGCCCTCTGCTGCTGTCAAAATAGGATTCTGCAGGAATATTTGGCCGGCCGGCCATCTTTAGTGCTGACCGACCAACAATTGATGGCCGATAGCTTAACCAGTGGCCGGTGATCATTTCCTTTTGCCGGTGACCATTTTCCTTGGCCGGTGGTATCCCACAAGGTTCATAGAGTGCACCTCGGGAATTTTGAAATGATCAGAGAAGGAACACAGTGTGGACAGAGGCAACTTGTGCATGGCAGTGGACTTCCGAGCGGAGCTGAGCACACATTGCATTGGGCCCTCTTCCCGAGGCTGTTTACTGTTTTATTAGATTAGTTAATTTGCTTAACAAGTTTAATTGGTCTGTAATATTTAATTAGCTTGTAGGTTAGTTAAATCTGTATTATTCTTTCGGTCCCTCCGAGCAAGGGCAAATTTGTAATAAGTGTGGGTGCGTGTGTGCATGTCTTCCAACCCCCACTTCTTTCTCCCTTTTACTTACCTGCTTTGATGGTTAGTACTAGGACATATTTAATTTAGCGTCCTTATGCTATGCATGCGTGCATCATTCATTAGTATTGCATGTATCGGGCTCGGCACATCATACTAACTGCATAGTATTTCAAATCTAAACTTGAATATGTGCACCAAATGGTTACATTTCACATGCCATCCTAGGATTAGCCGAGCCTATCCTAATTGCATTCTGTATGCGTTGCATTAGGCACTTAACATGGACTTGGATCATACATTGATTGCTAACGAGTTCTTTGTTTTGGTTTGGAGTACACTGTAAGTATTTTGTGCTTTAGCATCTCGCACGAGTGTGAATGTTAACATGACAGCATGCTTACCATGTGGCTAGATGCTTATGTGATTTAAACTGCCTGAATGCCTGTGGGTGAAGATTGGATTGCTTGAGTTGGAACAACTCATCAAAATCTATGTTTTAGCCTACTCGCGAGTAGCAAATTTCAAAACATTTTCCAAACAAACGGATATGCGATGCTTTGTTCCAAATTAGGCAATCTAGTCTATACTTGTTTTGTTGTGCGCATCACATAGTAATTCTAGCTAATTAATCGGAATAAGAACACATAACGTTTTCAAAATTAGATATCATGGTTAGTAAAGGCCGATCTTCGGATCGGGCGAGAGGGGGTGCTCATAGCTGATCTTCCCCAATCGTACCCAAGTTCTCGAGCCGAGGCAACTTTGGTGATAACAGACACGTGGCCTTAAGCAAACAAGTCAGGGTTTCCTAAATTCTCCCATTGAAAAATATTTAGGTGGCGACTCCGTATCTGGTAAAGCAGTCCATGTTTGACACTTCTTTTCTAAAAATCTGTTTTTCAAAACGATTTGCCAGATTTGGACTCTTTGGTTCAGATTAAGAACCGTGACAATTTGAGAGTCCGAACTGTAGTGAGACCAAAACGAACAGAACGGGACTCATCCTCCCGGGGCGTTCAGGGACGTCTACACCTCTGAAACCCTACCCTAACCACAAAATGAAACCGTTCATCTTCATCACCCACGATCATCTCAGTCTAATCAATACAATGTTACATCTCCACCGCTCGAAATCACATTCTCAGTCCTCCATCTCTCCTCCGTTCGACTCCATTCCCTCTAAAACCCTACCCTAACCACAAAACGAAACCGTTCATCTTTAAACACAACACCAAGCCGTTCATATTCTCTAATCGGCGACTCTCAACATCACGAAGAACCATCACCACTCTGAAGAAATTTCATAGTTCCTGACTTCCGATGCACAGAAATGGAAAAAAAAGTAACATCTCTCTTCACCTATTCATTATTTTTCATTCAAATTTGTACATTATTCTTTCATATTTCGTATATACACATTTTACATACTTCAAAATGTATAAACCCACTTTTATTTATAATCTCCTGTTTTTAAACATTCTAATCCACTGTTTTTACACATAAATCCCTGTTTTTACACATTCAACACCTTATTCTTATTCTTGTTGTTCAATATTGGCTTTTCTTATTGTTATTGTTGAATACTTAATCTTCTCGTTGTTATTGTTGCTGTTTACAAAATACAATGGGCTGTTCTTATTGTTGATACTGTTTATAAAAACTGCAACATCATACAGTTTCATTTCATCACTCTACAAGTAACATATCTAAATTTATTCAAACTGCAAATGAAACTGCAAAATTACACAGTTTAATCACTACTCAAAACAAATAGGTAACTTATTATAAAATGCAAATCAAACTGTCAAATTATACAGTTTCGTAACTGTTGCCGACAAATACATATAACTTCATATTAAACTGCATATAAAACTTCAAAATTATACAGTTTTGTCACTATATTACTCATACCCTGCTGTCGCTTTCATTTTTTCAGAAATAGTTGTTGGAAGATATTAGAAGAACAAACCCATGTTTACCATGTTTCTTTAGTCCTTCAAATTTCAATTTTGCCAATTTCATTTATAAAATTTTCAATCCAAGTCAAATTGGTCTAATTTCAAACGGTCCTCTAAATAATTAACCGAATAATTATAAAATACAGAAATTTTCCCTAAAGTATGCATTATGTGTCATTTTGATCCCAAATTTCAATTTTATTAGTTTCACTGCTAAACACTATAAGACCATGCTTCATCTTCATCATATATATTATATGCTTAGGGACCAAAGAGATAAAACTAAAAACTGAAGAAAGAGGTGATAGGGAGTGCACATATTTTAGAAAACCACAAGTACAGTTTACTACTATTGTGTAAATGAATTAGACAGTACATTTGAAATTAGACCAATTTTGACTCATTTGAAATGAGTTATGTCTATTCTAATTTTATTTTCTAATTTGCAGTGGGAGTGGGAGTGTGAGTGTGAGTTGATGACATTTTTATTTGGAGTAAACTGTAACTGAGTTATACGAGATACTTACCTAAGCCTTTTGCTGTTGAGGTGGAGGAGGTCCTCTTGATCATCAATTCCAGGACTTCCACTGGGTCTTTCTGCTGCATCATAGTCATTGTCATTAAGGTCATTTCGTCTTCTCTTTGATGTAGTAGCACTACTAGCAACTTGTACTCCTGCTGATCTGTCCAAGTCTCCATGGAACACACCCATGATGCACATACACTTACCAATTTTTAATGTAAAACAGCTGCAAGATATTTCATAAAATAATTGACAGCATGGTTGACCCAAATAACATCCTAAAGCAGTCCTAAGCAGATTATTAATTTTGATACTAACCACGCAGCCATCAACCGTCCATTGGAGAATGTCGAAGGTAGCTGTCACATTACCATTTGGATCCAAGGGGTCATAGCAATCTGCGAATCAGAGAAGTAATCTGATTTTTAACAAACAGTTCTTCACCCAAAAAGAAAAAATCAAAAAATGAAAAAATAAAGCAGCAAAAGAAAAGTAGGATGCCTGAAAAACTGCACAGGGAAGCTAATAATATCAATATCAGTGCAAAATGGCATACACAAGAATTGATTAACCCTATGTCCCCTTGGAGATTAACAGGCTGAGATGGATAGATAGTTGTTATAGTCTGCTTAGATGAATAGGGTTTTTGTGGACTTTATTATCAAGGAAAAACATTGTTCTAATATTTATCTATAACCTGTTGATCTATGTTGACCATCCCAGTTTGAAATAAACGATAATCATAGGAAACTTAACAAACATTAACAGACAAAATTTTAAAAGATAAAGTACAAGGCAATTAGATATTCTATCAATCCATGCAAACAAAATAAGCACCAGCCCATTATGGATTTGGAAGGACTCCTGTGTATTCTTCACTATCTTTTCTTATTCGAAGAAGGATGTACAAGGACGGCAAGCATAAAAATCAGAACACATGGCAGAGCAACATAAGACAATTTAGATTACTAAAACAATCTAGAGCTGTACTCCAATCTCATCCCCTCCCTTCAATGGCATGCCCCTCTTCAACCGCTTTCGCCATATCCAAGTCTATCCTAGCCGACTCATTCAGCTGAAAAGATTTGATTCAGATTCAAAAACAATTGAACACGCCTGTATAATTACTAACATACATACATGCAGAGAAGACATAATTACCAACATTTACATAATAAATGCGAAGAGCCAATTACACACCTGCATAATTAAAAAATATAGCCATTAATTTAGTTGCTTTGTAATCAATATCTAAGTATATGATGCATAGACAATGTGAAGTATAATTGTGAGTTGTGGGAATGAAATAAAATCCATATGTTCATTTTCTTTCCTTCTCTGGATTGAAAAAAAAAATCTAAACAGCTTGAATTGTACAATAGAAATATATATCATTATCCTGTAACGGTTGGGAATGGTGGACTTATTTGTAGCATTCCAATATTATCCTGAACACTCACTATCTTTGAATGGGAATGGTGGACTTATTTGTAGCATAGAAATATTATCCTGAACACTCACTATCTTTGAAAAACTGAGTGAAAGTGAACTGGATCAAGAAAGTAAAAACAAACCAGAGTTAGCCTACATCCCTTTGAAAGGCATTGCCTCTTCCAAACCCATGTAGTTAATCATCTCCCAAGGAGCATGAAGCAACAGAACAACACCGCAGAAAGTAATTCACAAACTCTCAGTCCCATCATCATGATGCCCTACAAATTAAACGATAAAAAGAAAATCATTCCATATGGTCATCTATTATTCCGTATTAAATTCAAATCCAATTACTTCAATAGCCACTGCTGGAAAATTCAATTTTAGCGGCGTTTAGAAAACGCCGCTAAAAGTACTAAAAACGTCGCTAATTCTTCTTATGACGTTTAGTACCAAACGCCGATGACACGGCCGTCGCTATAACTTTATGACGTTTGAAAAACGTCGTTATATTAGTATAGGCGGCGCTTTAAAAAAGGCCGCCAAATGTCCTACTAACAGTACTATAACATCAGTATAACATTTAGCGACGTTTTTGAAAACGCCGTCATAGACATTTATACATTTTAAAAATCTAGCCGTTGGAGTGGGATATAGTGACGTTTTCTAAATGTCGCCATAGTCTTTTTTTTTAATTTTTAAATTTTGTTAATTTTATATGGTTGAACCAAAAAAATACCTATCAAACAATTATTAAGAACTAATAATTGATGATAAAAATAAATAAAGAATTCTCAAGATCAAGTCAGAACAATTTGTCACAGCTGAGTTTTTGTTCCTTGAGTTTTCAATGGGCATTATCATCCTTCATCTGTTTAGTCTTATAGCACAGTTGGAACCTTTGAGGAAACTTCCTTGTTCCATAAAAAAACGAGAGAGAAAACAGAGAACAAAATAAATCAAATTCATGTATGATGAGAACAAAACATTCAAGGGATGAGAATAAAGAGAACAAATATTTGAAGAGCATAGGACATGGTTAACACTCTCAGAGTGTTGATGGGACACAACTTCTTCCTGTACAATTTCTCAACAGCCAAACACAACATTAAGAACCTTTAAAGCCATACCATTTTGTATTTTACATCTTTTCTCAGGAACTAATTGTAGAAGAACCCTTAACCCTTTCAACCCTATGGGGGTCAACTAGCGCCATTAACACACACTAAAAAAATTACGGCACCGGCTTGATGTTTCTGATGTTTTGTTCTAATGTTAGAACCAATCGATTCAACTAACATGACATAAAAAAGTTCCTCAATGGTGCAAACATGTTGTAAAGTGATATATGAATTATATGAAGTTTAGGAGGTCACAAATGAATCATGTAAATATGCTTGCTATTAGCTACAAACACAGTACATGATTTCGATATGCCTACACTGGCCACAACCAAGAACAACACAGATACTCACTACGACCATAACACACAGTAGCCTTTCTATTACCATATTGTTCTCTGCACTGAATTGACACTTAAAATGTGTGTGATTGAGGGAATTCTAGGTCTCACCTGTGTTAGGGTAGGCAGAAGCTTTGAGCCCAAATGTGACCGTCCTACAACAACCAGTATCCTATCACAAACTAACGCCTAAAACAAGGTGCTGATATGCTGAGAGCCTGTACAGTGGTAACAAGCTACCCATATTATATATATATATATACATCTGAACCCATCAATGGAGTCTCAGTCTGTTATCAACCTGACCATACATACAAGTCCTTTTGTGTTGCCATCCCTCTTCCAATTCTCTGGAGCTCCTTCTGGGAGTCATGATATTGAAATTGTTTGGGAGAATCATCTGAGAGATTGCAAATAAGAGTCCACATGTTGCATTGATAAACAATTCAAAAAGGAAGCAAGATTGATACAAAGAATTGACTCGACTCACCCCCATCTGACACATCAGCAAGTTTTGCAAGCACTTCAAGGATTGCTACCTCATGCTCCTAGTAAATTAGAAGTTCACAAAGCAGTTCTACCATTAATATATGACAATCCAGACATGAACTATTGTAACTTTGCCAAGAACAATGTAGTATAAGCAATGCTACGGAAGTGGGAGCAGAAATTACCATAAGGATTGCCTTCGCCTTCTCCACTTGAACAAGGTCAGGATTGACTTCCCTTCCACAGATCATACTCTCAACCTGCAATAGGGATTAAAAAACATAGAAGACTTACCCATCAACTCAGTGAGAGATTTGGGGTAAGAAGGCACAAAAGCCTTGCCATCACTTTGCAAAACAAATCTACTCACTTCTGCATCTGTGGACACAATTGTAGGACTTCCAAATAAATGTGACTTGAACACCTTCCCATACCTACAAATAAAAATTTCTATCGTAATTCATGTAATCCCCAAACTTGGTTTCATCTTAATCACTACTTCACAGTACCGTTTTAATTAAAATAAAAGGCGACGTTTATAAAACGTCATTAAAGGTTAGAAACAGTGGTGTTTAAAAAAACGTCGCTAAATAAACGCCGTTAAATTCTATATTTCCTGCAGTGAATAACCAATTACATATAATTAATATGATCTCATTCATTATTTTATTTCATGTGTTTTGGTACAATTATTCCATAGTATTACTTATCCCCTTCTAATTCTATTATATCCAATCCCCCATAAAATAATCCGACAAGCAAACATTAATACCATAAACAAACGTAAAGAAATGCAACAATTTCTCTTTTTTCTTTTTTGCATAACTAAAATGCATAAATCACATGTATTTATGATATATTTCTCATCTTTAGAAGTTTATCCTATTTGGTAACATTTTCACCTTTTTATTTATTTATCAAAATTTTGAAAACTATAAATAAAAGTCTATTTGGTGTCTATAGAAGATTTGGGTAGGCTTAGATTTTCAATAAAACTTTGTGTCTCAAAGACAAACTTACTTAGGTCTAAGGCCCTGTTACCCCATCCCATGGTCAAAAACAATCATCCTCTTCTTATTTCATGCTATATCTTACCTAAATAAAAAATAATACAAGTATTCTAACTGTATCTATGATCCCTTATCCTTGGTATTACAAATTCTGACCTTAGTCCAATGGTATTACCAGTCCCAAACAGTGCCAAAAAACAAATACATGTATCAAACATGGATGTCCAAAGGATCACAAAATCAAGGCATCATGCACTTGTCAAAAGAATCCTGATGTCTCAGCTCCTAAGGCTCTTCTAGTTATTTAGAGATATGTACCACCATTTCAGAGATATGAAAAGAGCGAGAAATAGAAAGAGGAGGTCTCGCTATAGTGGATCTTTAATGTTTCTACATTTTGTCATTACTTATTTAAACTGATGTTTGAAAACTTGTTTTCAAAACTACATTAATTACATCTAAACAAGATCAGATCCCTATTAATTTCTATTTTGCATACAGTACAGCTCATTTTTCCATTACCAGATTTGAAAGGGTTCTATTATTTTTTTACATTCTTATATCGTGGAGTGGGCGTTAATGGACAACATCATTCCCACTGAACTTTTGACACGGATTAATCATAGATCGGGAGTGATTTGAAACTATGTCAAATATAAAATGACAAAGAACCAAACAAGTACCCAAAACAATGCCCAAATAGTACACATTAATGTGTGTTTGGGAGTCGAAAGATTGAGTACACACCTAACCTTTAAAAGCAAAAAACAGAGATTTCACTTACTGATGGAAGTAAAAATTCCCTGCCTAAAGTGAGGAGTTCCCTATCATGGGATGAAATTTTACTGTCCAAAGCATGCATTCGAATTGTTTCTTGAAGCAACATAAAGAAACTCGTGCCATTAAAGAAACAATTTCTTGAAGTCACTAATGTCTTCATATGAAGTTTCAGATATCATTGATAGAATGCCAAGATAAAACAAATTACCTTCTCTGTTAGATATTTGAAAGCCACCTTCTTCTGTCCTGCTTCATATATATTGCATTGTGAATATATCTGAAGCCAAAAAACCATAAACATGTTCATAGGAAGTGTTTTAACACCTTAAAATTCAAACCAACAAAAAAGAAAAGAGGAGGCAGATGATGAAGAAAGCAGCAGCTGAAAGCATCTTTACCTGTGATTCTACACTGGCACATACAGCATAAATGCCCCCAGTTTCTGGTGTAATTATTATATAAATGTACTTTCCCAAACCTAGAAATTGTAATATCTGTGCTCTCTCGGGTGATATCTATCAGTCCATCATCATAATCACAGAGGCTGCAATGGTCTATCCATATGTGCTTTGACTTGGGTTTTATCTGAATGCCATCAACATCAGGTCCCATAAATTGAAGTTCTCAACAAATCAATAGGATGTTAAATAAAATAAAAAATAGTTAATGGGAACTACAGTTGACAAAGAAGATAACAAACTACAAAATTCACTTTGACAAGCGCACCAATGACAGGATACAACCAATTCCTACATAAAGATTCATTGAATCAAACAGGATCAGGATGGGAAGGACCACAGGACATTAAAGTTCAATGGTATGTCTTTGAAGGGCAATTATCTTCCACAAAGTCACCAGTGCTGCTAAATGCCCAACTAGTTGGGTTTAAGAAAAGCCATGAAGACCCAGCTGAATCTGTATCTATTTCATATGTTTTTCTATCAACAGCTACTTCACTTCCATCACAATTTATATGGAAAGAAGAGACATCTGAGACAAAAACATAACTAGATTATTTACCTTTGAAATAAAAAGAAAGATAGCAAACAAAGAGATCTAGGAAAGAATTACACAACCACGGCAAGCAAGAATTTCACTAACAGAACAACATGAGATCATGAACCAGTCAGCAACATATTATATTAGAATTTAGGTTAGATAAGAAAGAAATAAACTGAAACAGTGCCCAAATAATTTATGAAAACAACAAAAAAATATTATGAAAGTTTCAGAAATTTACGAAGCATTGTCCTCTGAAGAGCTTCCAAACAAGTTGCTGTAGAAAATAGAGAGTGAAAAGTTGAGCTGGATACACAGAAATTTTTTGAGAGATTATGGTAGTAGTTATTAAGTAGGACAGAAGCATTCTTACAATTTAGTTTGTCGGCTTCGGCAAAATGAATCGACTGAATCAACTGATGAGCTTAAGTTGTTATAGGATAGATCGCCAAATAATCTTCTTCTTTTTATTTATTTTTTCTTTTTTTCTTTTTTTGTGTGGAAAGAATGTAGCATTCAAACTCTATTTTTCCTATCATTTTCCTCAAATATCTCATCAAGAAGAACAAAGGGTGAGGGGTAGAAATTTAGACTGGGAATTTTATTTCCTTGAGATTAAATTAAAAAAAAAAAACCCGAAAAAAAAAAAAAAAAAAAAAAAAAAAAAAACAGAACAGAATTTTGGTGTTTCTCTGAAAACTGGTTCTTTTTTAACTCCTTTTTTTTTTCCCTGAATATAGTTCCTGAGAACAATGAACTTAACAAATTTTCAATTCTATTTTCTGTTTTACGTGACTCCTAGAACAGAAAACTGTTTTCAAAAACTCCAACAAATACAAAGCCCATAATAACCCTTGTTTCCCATTTAAGTGTTGAGAAAAGAGAATTTGCAGTATCGAAACCTAAAGACTCGTGCATAATTTGATGCTCTCCCAAAGATGCAGCAAAACTTGTTGCCTGCTTAATAAAAAAAAATTTAAAAACAAAAAAACAAAAAGAAACAATGCAAAGCTTCATTTATGAAACCAAATTTCTTGTTGAATATAGCGATCCCGGGTTTACCCTTGTTGTATAGTGATCCGGACATGTGTCCGTGGATGTTGGTAGTTGGTTATTATCGTGTTTACATTCCTTTTTACTTCGTAATTGAGTTATAGGATGTGTTGGGCAGGTTTGTTACAGGTTGGTTGAGTTTAGAAACCAAAACTAAAGGAATGTGATTAGTTTATATGTAAATGCATGTCTTATCTGATGGGTTTAATGTTGTTATTTTGAGGGCGTTAGATTGAACATACCAAGCTACTGAACTTTTATAAAAGGAGCCTACTACTGAACTGTTTCATCAACTTCAAAAATGGAGGGCCAATCCAAAAAAAAACTTCGAATATGGAAGGGGCATCAATTTAAGCCATTAAATCTGCAAATGGCTCTCTTTGAGACAATTCAAGAACACCAAGAAAAGGGAAAAAAAAGATAAAAAAGATAAGGAATAGCCAATCTTTAACCAAAATTACATGCTTCAAATATTGAATGTTCACTAAATCAAACGTACAGCAGAAAAAAATGTATCCAATCCTTGACATATACACACAAATTTCACATGCACAAACAAAATACATACAAAACACTGATGATCATGGCAGAGAGAGAGACAGAGAGAGAGAGGGTACCTCTTTATTCAAAATTATGATGCTTATCTTCTCACAGAGATTGAAAACCCTAAAGAACAAAATCCACAAAAACATCAAAACGCCAACCCCCCAAAAAAGAAACGAGAAAGAAAACAAAAGAAGAAACAACAATTGAAAAAATAAATAAAAAAATAAAAATTATAATCTTGAGTCATGTATCGATTTTTTCTTTTAACTGGAATCACAGATCGATCAATTTCAATTTCATAGTTCTTGGTTACAATTTCAATTTCAATAACCAAATCGAGAGAGACGGGAGGAAGAGCTTGTGAGAGACAGAGAAATCGATACCTCGCTGGTGCAGATGGTGGTGGCGGTGGAGCTTCAAAATCGAAATCAAAGTCGAAATCAGAGAAATCGAGCCGGTGTAGACGGTGCTGGCGTTGGAGATTCGAAATCGAAATCGCTCTGAATCTCAAAGATGAATCTGTGAGAATGATAAGGGCTTAGAGAGGGTTGAGATATGCGAGATTTGAAGCCGTGAGGATTCCAAATAAGATGAACTTCGAAATCAAAATCAAAATAGCCAAGATGAATCACCGAGATTGTATCATTCTGAGATGAATTGATCCATTGAGATGAATCGATCCATTGAGAGGGTTGAGAGAGAGAGCGAACGAGAGAGTGATTGAGTAAAAGATTAGGGCTACAAAATGAGTGAGTGAGAGATTAGGACTTCAGAGGCTCGCCCATTTAAGGGAGAAAGAGAGAGGACATTTGAAGGCGCTTTAAGACGCCTTCTGTTATTGAAACGGTACCGTTTTAATATTTTAAAAAAGTGATGTTTAAAAAATGCCGTCGAATGTCATAAAACATGGCGTTTAATAAAACGCCATTAAAAGAACGTCGTCAAAACTCATATTTCCTGTAGTGTATCTTGGGACATAGATGTCCATATTTGATATATTTTAAATGATAAATTATGCAACTTGCAAGTTTCTTTCTATGCTCTGTTTGCTGAATGTCTTTTTTCCCTTAAAAATGATAGATTTTTTTAAAGCCACTGTCTTTTTGCCTTTATATATATATATATAATATAATGCCTTTTGTCACACCTCATGAATGCCTTTTTTCCCTTGTTTATATTAATATTTTAATAAAAATGGCTTAAAACTAAACAATGGCTGAGCTTTCCAAGGGCTGAACTGAAGCAGCTACAAATGAATAAAAAATAAATAAAACTAAACAATGGCTTAAAAAGGTATAACACAGTGGCTTAAAAAAAACTTAAGACACTGGCTTTAAAAAAATCTATCCTCACTCTCTCTCCCTCTTTCTCTATCTCTAAAAAATGCAGAACGGTGGCTTACAAAGGCAATTACGAAACAAAAGAAAAAATATATATATATATATATATGAAATGCAAAACACAAACTGAGCATAGAAAGAAACTTGCAAGTTGCATAAGTTCTGTGGTTGCCCACTATTGTTAAAGCTCCACCCAAGAATATAGTGGTTTGTTACTAGTAAATAGTCCAGTAGAAGAAGAAAAACCAGCATACAAAGAATCCAAAAGAATTGAAGAAATATTGATGCGTTGACAAGAGAGGTTGGTCTGGTCTTGGACTTCGAATAGGAGCCAACAACTCAAGGCGAACAGCAGAACAACAACAACAAACAGAACCAGAAGCAACAAAACAGAAACAGAGCATAAAACAGAGCACAATTTCATCCGTACCGGCTGTATCGGAACTGTATCGCTCCATGTATCGGATTCAGGCCGATACGTATCGGGAATCGGATGATACGGCTATGAATTTCACTCCCACCGGTATACCGGTCCATATCCGAATCGGCGATCCAATTTTCCGGTACGAATTGGTCGGTACGGTACGTACCGGCCGATATTTAGAACTATGGTTGAGAGAGAGAGCGAACGAGAGAGTGAGTGAGTAAAAGATTAGGGCTACAAAATGAGTGAGTGAGAGATTAGGGCTTCAGAGGTTCGCCCATTTAAGGGAGAAAGAGAGAGGACATTTGAAGGCGCTTTAAGACACCTTCTGTTATTGAAACGGTACCGTTTTAATATTTTAAAAGAGTGACGTTTAAAAAACGCCGTCGAATATTATAAAATATGGCATTTTATAAAACGCCGTTAAATGAACGTCGTCAAAACTCATATTTCTTGTAGTGAGCCAAAAAGTGAAAAGAAAATAGGACTAATAGGTCATCATGTAAAGTGCTACTAAATGTGTATCTACCAATATGTATTATCATCTGTAGCTACATATCCATTTTGCTACAAACAATGATGAAAAGGAAATTTATTCCATATGGTCATCTATCATCCTATATTAAATTCAAATCCTCGTATCCATTTTCCTACAAATTAAATGATGATGAGAAGGAAATTATTCCATACGGTTATCTATCATCCTATATTAAAGTGAAATCCAATTACTTCAATAGCCAAAAAGTGAAAAGAAAATAGGGAAATTCTTTGAATAGGTTAACATCATGTAAAGTGCTAAACATGTATCATCTGCATCTATATATCCATATTCCACAGTTAAAAGGGTAACAAGATGTGGAAACAAAAGCAATTCACAAGGAACATCAAAGTGAAGAAAACAATACTCCCAAGTCTGTGAAAAAAGCAATTAAACAGAGTTTAATCTGGGTTTGTTTTTCCTTTGATAATTCTCAGCAACAAAACAAAGGATCAGAGTAAAACCCACCAAATATCAAACATAAAACAGAGTATCAGAGTAAAACCCACCTAATATCAAACACAAAACAGAGTATCAGAGTAAAATCCACCTAAATACTGTTCATGAGGAGTTCAAAATCAAACATAATAATCTTCTTAACACTGCAACTTGATCGGAGAAGTAACCCAAATAGATATTTGTACTGTGATAGCAGAGTCAAATAAACCCTAAAAGGGATAAACATAAAGTTCAGAGGCGAAGAATGGGAAGTCAATAAAGTTGAAGAGTAGTGTGATACATCAATGTAAAGGAATTCTCGGGTAGAAAATGATTTCTGAGATTTCTGAGATCGAAAATAAAACCCTAAATCCTGAAGTTACCAAAACCCTAGATCTGTAAATAACCTTTATGTGAATGTTACCAGATATAAATGGATGAAAAGGGAACTTCTCATTTGCTTTGGTCCATGGCGATGGCGATGTGCGACGGACGTGAGCAATGGTGGTGAGGGACTTCGGTGAGCTAGAGAGAGTGGGCACCGATTGAGAGAGAGAATACAGAAAGAGGGAGAGGGCGGATCAACATATAGAGACACAGAGAGCGAGCTGGAGACAAAGAGGAGAGACGGGATTATAAATGGCGACCAAATTTTTAGAGAGAGTGGGTACAAAACGACGTCGTTTTATAAATGGCGACTAAATTTTTTTTGTCGCAAAAAATTTTCATTTTCCCTCTCCATGTTTCAAATTTTCCTCCCAAACTTTTCGTGACCAAATGACCAAATTAGTCGCAGAAAAGGTACCTTCGCCGACAAATTTTTTTAGTCGCCAAATCTCAATCAACGGCGACTAAAATATTAGTCGCTAAAAGTAGTAATTTGGCGACTACTTTTTTTTGGTTGCTGAAAATAAATTTTTCGCGACCAAATTTTTGGTCGCCAAAAAATATGTGACCTTCCGCGACCAAATTTGTAGTTGGTTGGCAAAAGTATACCACTTTTTGCGACCAACATATTTTTTGGTCGCCAAAATATAACCTTCTGCGACCAATAATATTTGGTCGCCAAAAATAATGATCATTCGCGACTAGTTAATATTTGGTCGCCAAATGTCATTTTTTTGCGACCAAAATTTTTTTGGTCGGCAAAAATGGTCGCAAAATGTGTAAATTCTTGTAGTGTAAGGTGGAAACTATCTTGGATGAGGTTGGAAGGTGGGATATTGATAAAATCTCCACCACTTTGCCTAGGGAGGCTTTGGACCTTATTTTCAATGTTCACTTTCCCAGGTTTGTTACCTTTCTTGATTTACCACATTGGAAAGGCTCTAGTTGTGGTATTTTTACTACTGCTTCAGCTTATGATTTGATTTGTGATCTGAGGTGGAGTCTATTAATTGGCTTTGGTTTTGGAAATTGAAGCTTCCTCAAAAACTCAAGGGATTTCTTTGGTTAGCTTTGCACCATAGATTGTTGACTAATGAATTAAGAGTCCGAAGGGGGCTGTCTGACTATGCTGTTTGTGTGAGTTGTGGTGATCAACAAGAGGATGTTGATCATATTTTCAGAAACTGTCCCCAAGCTCGTCATATTTGGGTTAATTTAAACTGTGCAAGTTGGTTGTTTAACTACATACATCTCTCCTTTAATGCTTGGCTGGAATCAATTTTGAAGGCTAAGTATTCACCTGTTATTGGCCATACAACCTTTGTTGTTATTTTGTGGCAAATTTGGAAAAACCGAAATCAGTTTATTTTTGAACATGTTCACACTCCTTGGCAACACAGCATCTTTTCTATCTTGAGATATGCTTCTGATATAAAAGATGCTTTTAAACATTCTTTTGCTCTTCCTTTATATGATAGACTGGTTGTGTGGACTCCCCCTGTTTCAAGAAATTTAAAAATGAACACGGATGGAAGCGCCCGAGGTGACACAGGAGATGGTGGCTTTGGTGGTTTGATCCGCGATGAGAAAGGAATCTGGATTTACGGTTTCTACGGGGAAGCTTACGAACTGCTTGTGCATTGAGGCAGAAATTTGGGCCATATATCGTGGTTTGACAATAGCTTTTGAAAAGGGTTACAAGGATTTGATCATAGAAACTGACTCCATGGATGCCATTGACATGCTGAAGGAGAAAGTAGAGGTTATTTCTTCTTTGCGCAGCCTGGTGGAGAACTCAAAGTTTCTTATCTGCAGATGTGGCTACACTCTCCAACACGTTTTGAGGGAGGGCAATCTGAGTGCTGATGGTCTAGCTAAGATGGGTGCTGATCAAGATGAACCACTTGTTGTTATGGACGATGCGCCGGATGGCATCCATAGTCAAGTTGTGGCGGACATGATTGGGTGCAGCTCCCGTAGGCAGAGCTCTTCTATTCCTTAAGCTGTTCTGTCTTATGTTGTTTTTTGTTTCCTCTGTTTGTCTTTCTACTTTCCGATGTACCCAAAAAAAAAAATACCAAAGTAGCTGTATGGATAACATTAAAACATTTCCCAATTGATTTTTAGGGTTCAAATTTACCATAAATTCAAATTCTTCTCTTTTTATCTTTTTGGAATTTATTTAGGGCCTGTTTGGGTATGATTTTTTTAGCTACTTTATGGACGTTTAAAAAAGGGCTAGATATTCAGTTACTATTTTTTTAACTGAAAACTGTGGGGAAGAAACTTTTTAAACAAGATTCATATCTATTTGGCAAATGCACCAAAATAAATAAATAAATAAATTTCAAACAATTTTTTTTGGGTTTGTATTTAGTGTTTTTTTTTTATATAAAAAAAAATTGCATTAGAATTATTTACTTTGGATGCTCTTCAAGTCTAGAAAGATTTTAAAAGTAAAAAAAAAAATAAAAATTTAAAAATTAACTAATGTTGTGTTTGGTTAAGGGATTTGAGAAGGGATTTGGAAAAGAAAATGGGAAAAACATAAGTGAAATATGAATAAAATATACCTATATTCCACCTAATTTCATGCCCATTTTCCCTTTCGCTTTTCAAATTTCTCCCCAAATTCCCCAACTAAACACAGTATAAAGATACAAAAAAAATACACATTGACTCACCCAAACTTTTTTCCATACCAAAAAATTAATTAATTTTTAACATTTGTCAAAATCACATTTTTAAACAACTTTATCCTAAATAATAATAATAATAATAATAATTGGGGAAATTACCCACAGGTCCCATGTGGAACATGTGGACACCATTTAATCCCATAACTTTTTGGGTACACCCAAAAGTCCTTTCCTCCATCTCTCTGGTTTTTTCCTCCCTTTTTACGTTTTCTTCTTTATCTTTTTTTCTACATTTTTCTCTCATCGTCTTCGTCATAGACGATGGTGCAAGTGTTCATGTCTTTCTCCATTGATCGGGGTTTACTGATAACCGCCAACCATCGAAATCAACTCGTGATTTCACTCTCACCGACGACGAAGATATATATTTCCGACGAAGAAGATGAGTGGATCTACTTAGATCTGATGTAGATCTACTCAGATCTGAGTAGATCTGCATCAGATTTGGCTAGATCTAAACAAAAAATAGTTGTCGGAGTATAATCCTCTCTCTACATCCGCCTTTCTCCTTCGATCTCTTTTTTTTTTCTCTGCTATACATTTCTGTTTTTCTGTTCTAATAGAGAAAATTTTTGAATTCTGAACAAGTAGTTTTCGATTTTTAGTTACAGGCGGTGAAAACTGTAAAATTTTGCAGTTTCAAAATTTTTTTTTGTGCTGGAATGAATCATGATTTAAAACTATAAAATTTTACAGTATTATAACATTCTTTAGAACTGTAAAATTTTACAGTTTCATAACATGTTTTTTAATTATTTTTTTTTCCGGCAATATTCTAGACATTCCGGTGAGTCTTCGGCGACCGTTAAATGGAAATCCGACGGTAGTAAGATGTGAACAGTGTCTGTAAATTAAAAAAAAAAAAGATTTTTTGGTAACAATTAAAAATGTATTGGACTAATTGGTGCAAGTGTTTTATTTTGGGATTAGCTAGATCTTGAACTTGGTACATGGGACTTATCAGTAAGTTCCCATAATAATTTAGTGACAGGGATGAAATAGAATCTTGAATTGGACTGTAAAGCTTGTGATTGAACTGGAAATAGCAGGCCTTCAAAATTTGGCTACTTCTTGGACTCTCGAACTTGTTTGTAGGCCTATTAGATCTTAAATAGTTTCAAGCCCAATTAGACAATATTTAAATAAGCTCAATGCTAAATTCATAAGCAGAAAAACAAAAAAAAAAAACTAGTAAAACATTTCATGAAACTAAACTCAATTAGCCTTAGTTGTTTTGGCAAATCCCTTTCTCGCCAAAAAAAAAAAAGAAGAAAAATCATTTTAGCCATAGAAAAAAATCATTAAAAATTTAATAATTTGTCTAACAAATTTTTTTTTTTAATTTTAAAAATTGGTTGAATTGGGTTCACCACATTTTGATCCAACAGACCTTACTGTGATTTATAATGGACCCACTACGGGCCTATCTTTATTTTATATATTGTTCACGTTTTTAATAGATTATTATGCATAGAAAGCCAAGTATTCTATGATGAAATTTTCTAATAGAGTAATATTCAGTAGGTTTGATTTCAGTTTTTTAAAAATTTTATTTTGTGTGTTTTCGTATTTTTTTGTTTCTAGTAAATATTTTTCAAATTTTAAGTAATTTTTTTTATTTTTTTTAAATGCACCTTACTTAGATGTATCTAAATAGTAAAATATTTTTGAAAAAATATTTTAAAAAATTAATAAATACACAAAAACACAAAAAATGTACTGAATTTTCTTATTTTTTGGTATTTAGTATATTTTTTAAAGATTTTTTTCACAAATATTATACTTTTTAAGTATATTTATGTTAGGTGTGTCTAAAATTAAAAAAAAAATCACAAATATTATACTTTTTAAGTATATTTATGTTAGGTGTGTCTAAAATTAAAAAAAAAATTGCTTAAAATATTAAAAAAATTCGTTGAAACATTAAAATATGAAAAAATAAAAATGTAGAATTTTTTAAAAATTATTTTCTGAAAACTAAAACCAAACAAGTTGATTAGGATTTAAGAAAAAGATATTAGAACATACTTTATGAAGATTTTTTTTTTTTTTTATTAATGTTGTGTTTTATTAAGTATGTAATTTAAGAGTAGAGAATTTTCATAAAATATTTCATGATTTCTGTTTCATAATCCGTAAGCAACTTTTCTATGATGAAATTTTCTAATAGAGTAATATTCAGTAGGTTTGATTTCAGTTTTTTAAAAATTTTATTTTGTGTGTTTTCGTATTTTTTTGTTTCTAGTAAATATTTTTCAAATTTTAAGTAATTTTTTTTATTTTTTTTAAATGCACCTTACTTAGATGTATCTAAATAGTAAAATATTTTTGAAAAAATATTTTAAAAAATTAATAAATACACAAAAACACAAAAAATGTACTGAATTTTCTTATTTTTTGGTATTTAGTATATTTTTTAAAGATTTTTTTCACAAATATTATACTTTTTAAGTATATTTATGTTAGGTGTGTCTAAAATTAAAAAAAAAATTGCTTAAAATATTAAAAAAATTCGTTGAAATATTAAAATATGAAAAAATAAAAATGTAGAATTTTTTAAAAATTATTTTCTGAAAACTAAAACCAAACAAACTGATTAGGATTTAAGAAAAAGATATTAGAACATACTTTATGAAGATTTTTTGTTTTTTTTATTAATGTTGTGTTTTATTAAGTATGTAATTTAAGAATAGAGAATTTTCATAAAATATTTTATGATTTCTGTTTCATAATCCGTAAGCAACTTTTATTTATTTCTATTTTTTAAGCACTTATAGTTGCACGGTGTAATAGAAATATAGTAATGTTACGCACACAAAAGGTGGAACACAGAAGCCAAACATAGAAAATTGTTCATTAGTCATCTGCTCGAACGATCAGAAAACACCATGATGGCCGCGATTGACACCCTAACAGCCGCGGTCGACAAGTTCTGTCCGATCGTTTGAGAGGTCATTCGAGCGATCGTCTGGGCAGACGACCAATGAACAATTTCTGTGTTTGTATTTGTACCATAAATAAAATTTCTATCGATTATAACTAGGTTTAAATTTTCTATTACTTATTATTATTATTATTATTATTATTATGCAGGAAAATCTTGAAAGTAAAGAGAAGTTAAGCCAATTTTGAATATTTAAGGGATGAAGGACAAGTGGTAATGTAAAAAGATGAAAGCTATATGGGTGGTTAGAGGATGGTTAATAAATGTTTTTTCTTACATTTTTTTTGGGTATAAATTGTCATTGATGGTTCTATTGTAAAGATCAACAAAAAATCAATACATGACTTAATTTTCATTTCTTTTCTATCCTAAGAATAGATCTAATCTACGTAGAATGAATAGTCTTAATGCACTTTACTTGTATTTAATTGTTCATTTAATCATTCACCATCATTATCTTCTTCTTCTTTCCCTCTTTTTTCTTGTTTGTTTTGTCATCATTTTTACTTCAAAGAAGTCCTTGAAATTTTCAAGGCATAAAACTTCAATACAATTGCTTGATTATTGTGTTGTTTGGTGACATTTTGGTTAAGGGTTTGTCAATCTAAGCCTAACAATTAAAATTTTACTAACAGTTTGATTTATGTGTTTCAAGAATTTTTAGATAGAAATATTCATGTGTTTTAAAGAATTCATTGTTTTTTTAACCCTAGATCCATACAACGAAAAAACATGTATGTAAAACAGATTCTTACATGTGCTATTGAAACACAGTTATTTTATTGAATTCAATCAAATACAATTAATGGAAAACATTCCATTTTTTGTATGAATAAAAAAAAATTTAAAAACAATTTATAAATATTTCCCAGCTTAGAAGAAGAAGAAGAAACCGCCGGCGGCGGCAGCAGCAACGACGGAAGTGACCTTCAAAGCAGCGGCGGCGCTGGGGGTGGGAGCCTCAGCGGGAGAAGCGTCGGCAGCGGTGGGTCCGGAGACAGGGGTGGTAGATTCGGTGGCGGGAGCGGGTGGAGAAGAGAGGTCGGCCTCGGGTGCATTGGCGGTGGAAGGAGTGGGAGAAGAGGTGGTGGGAGCGGAGGCGGCGGGGGTGGAGGCTTCAGGAGTTGAGGCGGAGGCGTCAGGGGAAGAAGCTTTGGGGGTTGAGGCTGCAGCAGGTGATGAGGCCTTGGGGGAGGATGCCCTAGGGGAGGCAGCTGGGGTGGCTTTGCTTTCCTTGGGGGAGGCTGCGGCGGCGGGGGATGAAGCTGAGGCCTTGGGGGATGGGGATGCGGATGGGGAGGTTTTAGGTGCCTCGGCCGAGGCAGTGCTGACAATGGCGACGAAGACGAGTGCGAGGACAACCAATTGGCGAGCCATTTTTGTGATAGTGATATTAGTTATGAGTTAGAGGAATGTGATTGATAAAAAGAAATGGAAAGGAAATGAGAATGAGAATGAGAATGAGAATGAGAATGAGAATGAGGGAGGTTTTGAAAAGGCAGTAGTAATTCTCTAAATGTGCTTAGAGAAACACTGCGAAATCAAAGAAGACGGAGGGAATTGTGGAGGATGAGAGGTTTGACAGGGTTTTATATGTAATAAAAGAAGGTGAGAGAGAGAGAAGGACATGCTGCGGAAATAACGCGGGAATGTATGGAGGACATGATAGAAAAGTTTCACTTTCTTTTAAGCTTTAGGTTTGCTTCTTTTTTTTAGGGGAGACAAGGTGGTGGTGATGAGCTAACTAAGCAACCGATGGAGGGTGAAGGTTTTTTCGTACTATTATTTTTGACCGAGTCATTGGTGATTGCATGGTTGCGTTAGTCAAACTGCATTCCATGGATTTGTCTTACTCATGCATTCTCATGTGGCACCAAAAATTATCGGCCAAACTAGATCAGAGCTTCATCAAAAATAATTACAAATAACATAAAAGTTGAGTTGCACTCCATAAATTCTTTCACATTTTAGTAATTATTTATTTTCTTTTTCATTGATTTGTTGAGTGACATAGGTGCTACCTTTTGTGTTATTTAAAGATTACGGATGAACGTTATGCTCGTTGTATTAGTCGTATCATTTTAACTTATGTATGAATTATGTCAATATTAATTTAAATTTTTTTTTTTGTGTGCACGTGCGCGTATTGTTATGTCTATGTTATTATTATTTTCACTCTCAATTAAATGTAATTACAGAAGACATTATAAAATGTCAAGACGCCCTTTTAGAAAAATAATAATAAAAAGTATAATTAATTATTTAATAAATGAGTTATTTGTATTAATTACGTGATGTGCATATTAATGGATTGGGTTGTATCTATGTTCATAATTTAATCTACTAAATATGATTTGAATTGTTTTGAAATTTCTCACCCTTAATTAGGACCCTCCCTTCAAATGGGTATATTACCATAGGAATACCATTTAAGTAATAAGATTAAGTTAGTAAAAATAGTACATTCTTATGAGCATTAAGCTTTACAGTAAGTACTAGAAAATTAAGGGGTTGTTTGAGGTGTCCTAAATAAGTACACTTTTTGACTTTTTATGAAATATGAGTTGGGTATGAGTTGGGTTTGAAATGATGTGACAGAGAGGTGATGTGACTTAAATAAGATGATGTGACTTAAATAGGATAGTGACTTTTTAACTTTTTAAATTTTTTTAAGATGCCAAACTTGGCCTAAGTTTTAGATAATTATTTAATATACGTGTGTATATTTATATATTTTAAATCTTATTTCAAATCTTATGTATATCCATATATATATTAAAATTGATGAGATTTTTATTTTTAATTAATTATTTAATATGCGTGTATATATTTATATATTTTTAATCTTATTTCAAATCTTATGTGTACTCATGTGTTATAACTGATGAGATTTTTATTTTTGAGTAATTTTATATAAATTAATAATTTTTTTTATAAATGCTTTAATATACGTGTGTATATTTATATATTTTAAATCTTATTTCAAATCTTATGTATATCCATATATATATTAAAATTGATGAGATTTTTATTTTTAATTAATTATTTAATATGCGTGTATATATTTATATATTTTTAATCTTATTTCAAATCTTATGTGTACTCATGTGTCATAACTGATGAGATTTTTATTTTTGAGTAATTTTATATAAATTAATAATTTTTTTTTATAAATGCTGAAAATGAGTCCATTTGATTTTTTAGGGCTGAGCAAGGAATCCGTGAAATCCGTAATCCGATTCAATTCAGTCCAATCCAGTAGGTTTGGATTGGTTTTTTGAATCCGTGGTTCAGTTCCGAATTGAAAAATTAAAAATCCGTAGTTCACAGATTGGTTCCAAATTAAATCCCACGGTTCCAAATTGGAATCGATCCGGATCGTATACAAATAGTTTATATTTTTATTATACACCCTCCTGCATAGTATCTTCTCTTATTTCATATAAAACTTAAATCCAAATCTAAACTTGCATAGTATCTTCTTTTATTACTTTTGTTTACTAGTTTTTAGTGTTAATTTGTAATGGTCTAAATACTTATGGTGAAACTAGTTTCTTTATAGTTGTTTAAATTCCAGAACAGTTTGTCGCTATTATGAAAAGACATATTGCTATTGTAAAATTAATATGGTGCTGTATTTATATTTTTATGAAAATAAAGTGTTATATATATATTTATGTTATTTAATTATATAAATCTGTGGTCCTAAACCGATCCAATCCGTATTTAAATGGATTAGTTCGGATTGATTTCACGATTTAAACAGATTGAATTGATTCCAATTTTTCAAAATCCGTAAATAACGAATTAGTTCTAATTTTATTCCAATCCAGTCCAATTCGGACCATGCTCACCCCTAGGATTATCTAGGTCTGAGTTGGGCTTTCCCTAGACTTGTGTGTTTTTTTCGGTTGGATCCATTAAGAATCCGGTCCGCCGTTGACCCGGACACTACTACTCCCAGACGCTGCAAGACACAAAACAAATGGCGGCAGAGTCGGACCGGAAACCTGCTTCCGGTGGAAACTCATCCACCGTGAACGGCGGAAGAACGGTGAAAGAGTGCCAAGACATGATCCGGAGAAGTCTCAGAAGTACACACACCGTTTATCTTTCTAGTTGAACCATCTAGGGTTTAGGGTTTTGCAGCTTGTTTTGAGTCTGAATTTTCACCAACTTCATTTCTAATTTAAATACTTGCTTCACTTTGTTGCAGCTCCAATGGTGAAATTTTTGAGGGAACATTTGGAGAAAGCTGGATGCAGTTTTGGGGACAAGTTCATCGCGGCCGTCCACTGCGATAAGGAGGTCAGTGGCGGTTACGTCCCCGGCGAAGGGGTAATCATAAGCCTTTCTTCCTTTCCTTATACCGTTAAATGTATTTACATGTGCAGGTTGAATACATCTTTTGCTTCAAAATTTGATCTTAATTTGTTAAACTTGCTTTTAGTTTCTTGTCTAAATCGATTTCAGATCGTTCTTTGTTAATAAGTTTGTCTTGATTTTAGTTCTCTTGTTTGTGCAATATTATGGATTGTGGAGACCATGCTTTCTGGTTTGTTAATTGACCTGCACTTTTGAATTCTTTGGCATCAACCTGATACAAAACATAATTTTCATGGCATTTATCGTTCTGCCTCATTTCACTTAGTTTGCATTATTTACTGAAACTACACCTCTAAATTTTGCCAACCAAATCTACATTTGTGCAATTCAGTATACTACGTTATTCGCTCTAATTTGTTCTGGATAATTAGGTTAAAAAACTGTAAAAATATCTTTTGCCTGCCCCCTTATAGCAGTCCATGGTTAGTTGTGACCGTGTGAGAACAAACCACTCACACAAGGTCAAGGAATGTGGGGTACTGCAATTGAATTTTCAACCGATAAAACTATCTTCTAATTGAAAATTTAGTATATATGTATAGGGTCATCATGTCAGACTATGCTATCTTCTATTAGTGCGTACTTGATCTTGAATTTAATATCTTTATGTAATTTTTTTTTTTAGTTTTTATTTTTTGCTTTGTCTCTGCATTTGTAAAACTTTTGTACAGGATCTGTATTTATCCTCTTTTTGCTGAATGACAATCTTATTTGCAAGTACCCTTTGTTTTCATGTTTTTGTGCTTAGATAATGGTATGTAGCAATCACATGAACATCCAAGATGACGTGAACCAAGTAGTTATCCATGAGCTCATTCATGCATATGACGATTGTCGTGCTGCAAACTTGGACTGGTCTAATTGTGCCCATCATGCTTGTAGTGAGGTTTGCATCACTATGCCTACTCTTTCCTCACGTATTTTGTTTGTTGGAGTTTCTTAAATCATAAGATCCTTTTCATTATTCTCATTTCTATGTGAAATAGATTCGGGCTGGTCATTTAAGTGGTGATTGCCACTACAAGCGAGAATTACTGCGTGGTTTTATGAAGATTCGAGGACATGAGCAAGTGAGTTTATTCTATTCTTTAAACATTAAACTTTTGATTCCGATACTATTTCACTTATCTCTACAGTCTACCTTACTAAACTTGCAATATTTAATAATCTATGCCTGTTATTTATTCCATACACCTTGACAGTCTATGGTTATAAAGCTTCTTAAAAAACTACACATGTTTCCCTTTTTTTAAGGTAGTGGGAGAAATTTTTAAGGGAGGAAGAAGTTTAATCTTTAATGGTCTGTCTGAGATTTCATATTTCGCCTTACATTTTTCTCTTCATTTGATGTTCATATTATTTTATCTCTAAGGTTTTCATGCTGGCTTCATCTCATTTGACAATCTTTGCATTAAAAATCTAAATCCTTTCCCTGTACCTTTTAATGGTACATCTGTTTGTTGTGAAAATTTTTGTTGGAAATCATGGATTTTATACTGTTGAGCTAATTATATGTGTGTTTTACTTCTTTTTTCTTCTAAGCCGGGCCAAGTGGAACAATACATGCCCATGTTAAGATAGATAGCTACAAGTAGGATACCACCTATCCACTTTATAGGGCATGATTGTACAGAATTTCACAATGGTGTACAGTATGGAAGCCCTTGAATAATAAAGCAACTGGTTTATTTTGCATTTATTTTTGTGTAAGATTTATTTGAATTTGATGATACCAGGCATACATATGCAAACCAGCATGTGTTTTTTGTATCTTTGATTTGTATGGGATGGTTGCACTATTTTTAGAGGTTCCCTTTCCAGGAAAGAAAGTTAAAAAACTTGGTGTTTGAGAAGGGTGAGTTTCCCTTGCAATTTTCAAAGCAAGTATATAAATCACTTGCTTCTCAAGGATTCACCCCGAGGGTAGTATCAAAGCAATAGCACATGCACAGCATAAAGGCCTCAAGATAAGAAAGCAAATTCTTACATCACTCAAATAAGTTCTCCTGCATAATTAATGGGAGAGATTTTGAGAAATAGAGACAAAAGTATTATTATCCTTTTATGTTTGAGTTGATTCTCTAAGAAGGTCTGTTGAGCAATTAGTCCTGGTCGAGTTGGTTATCGGACCAATGTGTCTGCTAATGAGAGAGAGTTTCAAAAGCAGCAGCTTAATTCATAATTCTTTTAGGATAAAGATAAACTGTTCAGGGACTGGGTTTGATCTGCATTTTGTTAAGGTACAGTTAACTTTAAGAAAGTATGTTTGTACGTTTTTTTTTGCAACTATTAACTAATGAGGGTTGAAATGATACTCTTTGGAAGCCAAGAGTGGTTCCAGTAGTGGTAATTGCAGCCATAGCTAGGTTGCCTTTGAAAACCAAATCAAATGGTTGCAGAACTTGTAAATAAAACTAACTTCAATATTAGCTTCTCAGGTATCCTGCATTTGAGTTTCACACCCATTATTACATATCTTGTTTTCCATTCTGGACATTCGCATTGCTTGTTCTGTGACTTGTTAATTCATAACTGCTTGCCATCTTTTCAACATGTGGTTTCGTACTAAACACACCCTCTCCCCCTACCCCTTTGCGACAAATCTAGTTCAATGTAGTCTAATGCTAAGGAATCCCTTAACTAAAATAAAACACTCTCCAAAGTTAGGCTTCGCAGTAGGGAAACAAATCCATTCCAAATGAACAGTAATACAAGAAAAATTAGGAGTTTTACGCATCATGAAGGAAAAAAATAAAAACTCTTCTGCTGAATATTGATGTTTGTGGAAATCTTTACTATGAGATGAGTTCTAAAAACAGGCAGATATTGTAATCAAAGTCTACAATGGTTACCTAACTATTAAATTTACAAGAGAGTTTCTTTTAACTCTTTTTAATATCTTTTGCCTGCTTTATTCTGACATTTGTAGGACTGTGTGAGAAGAAGAGTTATGAAATCACTGATTGGTAACCCTTACTGCTCGGAAACAGCAGCAAAAGATGCTATGGAAGCTGTTTGGGACGTCTGTTACAATGATACAAAACCCTTTGACAGAGCTCCTTAAAAAATGGGAATTTCTGCATCTCTGTCAGTGCCCAATCAGCCGTTATTCCAATTACTGAATCGATATGATACATGGCCCGTCCTGGCTGAAAGCAAGATAATAAATTTTCTATCCACTTTTATTATTTGAGTTCCATGTGACACTGATCATTTCTTTCAGATTTACCCTTCATTTTTCTCATCAAGTTGAAGGGAGGATCTGACCAACTTTTTTTGAATTCTATACCAGAGTGTATACAAACAATTTATTGGATTGACATTTAAAATGTATTCTATCTTTTTCACTCTGATTATTCATTTTCTGAAAATAAATTGCATCTTTTGGACCAAGTGCATATTGATAAGATTTCCACAAATATCAATATATTATTATTGTTGTTGTTTTTGTAGTAGTAGGTATTGTTGGTATATTATTGTTGAGATTGCAGGTCTCTTTTTAGCAAGGTATAACTCCCAGCTGGGAAATATTATCCTGGAATAATTTCTTGAATTGCCTAGTTCGTCAAGGATAGAAATGTGCCCGTTGTCTGCACTTGAAAATTTTGTGGCAGTCAGTGGTGGCGATGGCAATTATTGTTAGAGAGTAGAGAGAGGATATGACATTTGTGGGTGGCTAGAGAGTGACAAAAAACCGAATGGTTTACTACTGTGCTTTTGAAAATGATTGCATGAGCTGTACCTAATTAATTTTTGTTAAAATTTTTGATGATCTTTATCGAAAGGATTTAATTGACAAGAATCAAATTTTGACACGAGAGGCACTTGTATGTGATTTATTCTTTATTATCGTGGAGTTTAATTTTAAAAAAAAAAAAAAAAAAATTAATGTATTGAAGAATTGTTATTAAGAAAATTAATTTTTTTATTACTTTTTTTTAGATCTTGGTTTTCGTTTTTTATCTTATTAATTATTTTAGGAGTGTATTGAAGAAGTTTTCATATTATAGTAATATACATATAATCTTGTAATATGCTTCATTTATGCTTTTTGTGATGTTAAGCGTGACTCATTATGATGTTGGTAAAGACATTATTTGATTATGATTGAGAATATATTTGTTATACTGTTTTAACTTATTTTTCTTATGACTGAAAAATATTTAGTTAAGATATTTACCGTAATCTAATTTTATCTATAAAACTATTTAAATTGGAATTGTGAATTTAAAATAAAAAAATTACAAATCAGTGGTATAACTCCATAAAATATTTATAAATTCATAAAAATTAGAGCATCTCCAACTCATACATCTCTATTTCTCTAATATAGAGGAACAAAATAATATTTTTTATTCAAAAAGTGAGTTAAGAGGATCTTATTATTTAGGGTCATGCTCCGGAGTTCTAATTAGAGCCGCAAAAGGACAGCTCTAACGAGCTGTCAACCAATAAAATAAAATTAAAAAAAAAAACAGTGAAGTAAAAGACAAAAAAGAGGGAAGAAAAAGACAAATTAGTGCTCTATTAGAGCTCTTCTTTTAGAGGTCTAAATCATTTTTGTATTATTTATGACAACTCCAATTATACATCTCTATTTCTTCAAAAATTTGAACATTTTCTCACTTTTCTTTCAAATTTTACCCAGTTTTTCTCCAAAATTTAAATTATTTTATTTAATTTTTTGTTAAATATAATTAATATTGGTCTCATTTTAAAGGTAATGTTAACATCTTTTTAATGAAACTAATTTTATAAATATTGAATATACATATTAAGTTATAAAGACAAAATTAAAGATCAAAAAAGAGTGAATAGTGTTTTAGAGTGATCCTTCATTTTTTCATCCTCCCTCTATATTTGGAGGATCAATTGGAGTTGTTTTTGGGAGAGAATCCTCCATATTTGAAGATATGGAGATGCTCTTATAACCATGGTTTTCAGACCCGGACCGGCCCGGCCGGTCGAACCGGTGGAACCGGGAACCGGTCCCCTCTCCGGTCCGGAAAACCCTCCAGACCCGGGGTTGGCCAAAAACCGGTGTTATTAGTGAAAACCGGAATAACCAGTGGTCCAACCGGGAAAACCGGTGAACCGGTTCCGGTTCGGTGGACCAAAATTATATCAAAATTTTGACTAAAAATTCTTACTTCAAGAGTCTCCTCTCATGAGGAGGAGTCTCATTTGAAGCTTGAAGAAATAATGAAAGTCTATTCCTATTTATAGGAAAACAATTGTTCAAAGAGAACCTAAAAATTGAATGTGGGATTCATCTTTCAAATTTTACCCAGTTTTTCTCCAAAATTTAAATTATTTTATTTAATTTTTTGTTAAATATAATTAATATTGGTCTCATTTTAAAGGTAATGTTAACATCTTTTTAATGAAACTAATTTTATAAATATTGAATATACATATTAAGTTATAAAGACAAAATTAAAGATAAAAAAAGAGTGAATAGTGTTTTAGAGTGATCCTCTATTTTTTCAACCTCCCTCTATATTTGGAGGATCAATTGGAGTTGTTTTTGGGAGAGAATCCTCCATATTTGAAGATATGGAGATGCTCTTATAACTTTAATTATTAAATTTGATAAAATAAACTATTAATTTGAAATTATTCTTGAAAATGATTTGTAATTTTTTCCCATTTAAAATTACCGAAGCATTTTGTTGTGTTAAAAGTCGTTTGCAATTTGCAGGGTGTTGATAATATTTTCGTAGAGTAGATCGCCAGATTTAACATCACACACATTGATTCCAACGAAGCATGTCTGCCTTCTCCGCCCAAATGAACCTCCCTCCTCCTCCTCCTTATATTCCTCTCTCTCCTCTTCCTTTCATTCCGCCCTGCTCCCTCCTGTTTCATCCCCATCGGCGCCGCCGCCGCCACCACCACCACCACCACCACCACCGTCTCTCACTCTCTCGTCATGGCTCCTGCCTACGAACCCCTCCTTGCCGGAGAAACTTCATCTAACAACAACGATAGCAATATTATTATAACCCAAGATGAAGTGCCCATCAACAAATCTAGAGTCACAGTCGTCGGTAGTGGCAATTGGGGCAGTGTCGCCGCCAAGCTCATCGCCTCCAACACCCTTAAACTTGCCAACTTCCATGGTCATTCTCATCTTATTCTTACACTTGCGCATTCATGTCGCATATCAATATGATTGTATTGAAACTTTTTTTTTTTTTTTTTTGGTTTGAATTTGGATTTGAAATTTAGATGAAGTGAGGATGTGGGTATACGAGGAGGTTCTGCCCAGCGGCGACAAACTCTCAGAGGTCATCAACCAAACCAATGTAATAATGCATTGCCAATTACTCAATTTCTTACCCTATTCATGTGCTAATGTTTATATTAATATGTAATAATCACTATTCTAATTTACACACGTAGGAGAATGTTAAATATCTTCCTGGTATAAAACTTGGCAACAATGTTGTTGCAGTCCCAGACCTTGAACATGCAGGTACTAAACTCTTCCTAGTCTCTGCAATTATTGTTATTTTTTTTTTTTTTTTTTTTTTTTAATTATTAATTTATCATCACTTCATTAATGAGGTTATTAAGAAATTAATTCAGTTCATAACAACATGTGGCACCGCCCGAGGGTGGTGGGGTGAGTCTATGGTTTAAGACTGCCTTGAAAGAGTACCATCGATCCCATGATGGAGTAGCCCGGGCCCATCTAGGCCCTTTTTGGTTGGTTATCATTGTGTAGGGGCTCCTATGGTCTCGCCTAGGGAGCGTTTCCATGCGCTGATTGTCCTCTCCTATCCATTTTTATTTAGCTAAATAAGAGTTTAGAACATGGTGAATATATGATATTTTTGTCACGACTTTTAATTGGAGAATTTGCAGTCAGGGATGCAAACATGTTAGTTTTTGTGACCCCACATCAATTCATGGAAGGTATATGCAAAAGGATATCTGGAAAGATAAGGGAAGATGTAGAAGCAATTTCCCTCATCAAAGGAATGGAGGTCAAGAGGGAAGGCCCATGTATGATCTCTTCCCTCATAACAGAACACCTTGGGGTTAATTGTTGTGTTTTGATGGGGGCAAATATTGCCAACGAGGTAATTGAGCCCGATTATTGTTTTGGTTTTACCTTGATTCTTGCTCAGGCCATTTGGAACATCAGTTGCTAAAGATTAGACACTGTTAATGCAGATTGCAGTGGAGAAATTCAGTGAAGCCACAGTTGGATACAAAGAGAACAGAGAGATAGCAGAGAAATGGGTTCGGCTATTCAATACTCCTTATTTCATGGTCTCAGCTGTGAGTACAAAAACTCCTTGTTCCTCAATTGGTAGGCCCTAGGTATCCGAATTGTATAGAGAACATTAACATCCCTAACAATCTGCAAACTATTATTCAACTCAATACCATAAAAATATTACTGGTCAAAATATTTATCAAAAAAATGTATATATATATATATATATAACTGGTCAAAATGCAACAAAACAAGTTCACAGTATCACTAATAAAACCTAGCACTTTTTGACTTGTGTGTTTTATTGGGGGGGAAAACAGGTACAAGATGTGGCAGGAGTTGAACTATGCGGGACCCTGAAAAATGTTGTGGCGTTGGCAGCAGGTTTTGGCAGTCCACTGTTTGTTTTGCTTTCAAGTATTCTTTACTATGTTTTATGAGTTAATGAAACGATTTGATGTAAAATTGAACAGGTTTTGTGGATGGTTTGGAGATGGGAAATAACACAAAGGTAAGGCAAAAAAAAATCATAGGTGCTTTAAACTCATTGTTCCAAGTCCACACACATTACCTTCGGAAAATTTTGCATTTTGACTGTTTTTATGATTACTAGGCTGCAATAATGAGAATTGGTTTGAGAGAAATGAAGGCCTTTTCCAAGCTGCTGTTCTCATCTGTTAAGGATAGCACCTTTTTCGAAAGCTGTGGTGTGGCTGACCTTATAACAACCTGCTGTAAGTAGCCAGATAGATTTCTTTGCTTTCCTAGTTCTACAAATTTTGCCTTCATAACATCGGTTGCTCATGATAGAAACATGCAACCTTATTATGTTGTTTTGATATGGCAGTAGGGGGAAGAAACAGGAAATGTGCAGAGGCTTTTGCTAGGAATGGCGGGAAAAGGTATGCATCTGTTAGATCCATTTAGTGCTCAAAAACTTTTAGTAGAGATTAATCACTAATCATGTTTGGCCTCGTTGGTCTTCATCTGCAGGTCTTTTGATGAGCTTGAAGCAGAGATGTTGCAGGGGCAGAAATTACAGGTAAATACAAAAATAGTTATAGTGAAGAGCAGCACTGCTATTAGTTAAAGAATAAATAAATAATAGCAGACTGCTAGGGTTAATGTCTTGTGCTTGAATTCATATCAAAGTAAATGTGTACAAACAAGGTTTATGAGATGACTGAAACACTTCTAGCTGAAAACGAAATTGTTTTGAAAAATGTGTACATTCAGAATCTTGAAAACAAGATTGGTGGTGTCAGTGTCTAGGGATATTCTACCAAAATCTTCCAAAAACTAATTTCATCTTCATATTCATAGATGAAATCACGGGGTTTTGCATACTACATCTTCCGTGAATAACTATTATTTGAAGAAGTTGAACCATAAACAAGTTATTTGTTGAGCTTCGAATATTTTCTTGACAACCAGTACTTTTAGTAGTTCTGCTAATTGTTGTGTCCTAGTTTATCTGATCTTGTCATTTTTTTTTCCTTTCGTGAAGGGTGTCTCAACAGCAAAAGAGGTTTACGAGGTGTTAAGCCACCGGGGATGGTTAGAGTTGTTCCCACTATTCGCAACAGTGCATGAGATCTGCATCGGTAGTCTTCCACCAACATCCATAGTCGAATACAGCCAAAGTTGAAAACAGTGAGCACAAATTCTTCCTATTAGAAGGCTTTGCTCACTTTTACTGATTCTTCCATTGATACTATATATTTATTCATACAGCATATTTCAAACTAAACTACTTGTAGTTGTAGTCAGCTTTGTTGTAGTCAGCTTTGTTGGCCTGTGCTACAAAGTATGAACTTTACGGCTATATTTGTCTTGTTTGATTCATATACCATTTGGTGGTCTCTCGGTGAGTTATAGGTTCGAAATGTAGCATGATAGCATGTTTAATGCTTCTCTTTTGTGTAATGACAACAGTATCAACCTATAAAAGTTCCTTTTATCTTGTGTTTCAGTTCTATTAAATGTGATTTGTTTGCCTATTGTATATGGCATTGGACAAATTTGGAGTACCTATCATGTGCAAGTGCTGAACCATATTATTAGTAATCATGGAGTGTCTGCAGAAAATCTTGTGCCTAGTGTCGAAATTTTAAAGGACCAGCGGTACGATCTTCTTTTTGTTCCCTCCATGGCCAAAATGGAAATTTATACATCTCCCATGGTGATTGTACAAGCAGCGCACTCAGCGAAAATAGGTGGGGAAAAAAAAGGCATTAACATGGAAACAGGATGATATCTAAAGTCAGAAAAGCAAAAGAGCAAGGATACATTCGATACAATCCCATTTTGACACCACACCCTATTTCATTTTTTGCCATTATAGAGCTTCCACAAACCAACTAAAATGCTGGAAGACCATAAATTAAACAAAGAAAAAAAGGCACGAATCACCAAACCCAAGCATGAATTTTAGAATTGCTGTAGGAAAAATTACCCAGTTCTTATTCTATCCAACCGATCAACACTCTTCCGAGCTCTTTCCAGTTGGTGGTCAATGCTTTTCCGGGATTTCTCTATGCAATCCACACTTCTCCTGGACCTTTCCAGTTGGTCAAAAGAGATTTTCAGTTTTTCTAGCTTGTCGGCATTATTGGACTGATTTTTCAATTTTTCTGGCCTGTCGGTGCTGTGCCTTGGTTTCTCTCTCCGGTCAGTGCTCTTCCTGGAAGCCTCGAAAACATCTGTGCTCCTCCGAGGCTGCTCAAACTGGTCTGTGCTCTTCCTGGAACTGTATCTCTGGGAAGGTGATTTCTCCACAGTTGATATGAACTTCTTCAGATGCCTTATATAGTCTGGATATAGCTCTAAATCACAATGGTTCCCTCCTTTAAGCCATAGTGGTTCGTATTTCTCTTTACACAGTTCCCAGAGCTGCTTACCATGAGAGCAATCCACAACCTCATCTGAAGTTCCCTATTTAATGGTTTAAAAAAGAAAACAAAATAAGAATATATAAATTTTAATGGAATTTTGTAAAAAATGAAAAAATAAAAAAAAAATGCACGAATGAGTATTTGTACTCTCAATCTTCACAACAAAAGCATGTACTAATGAACATACATTTCATTTTCACAAAATTTAGCTTGATATAAAACACTCTAGGGTCTTAACAAATCCCAACAAAATGTCTTGACCTCATAATGTTCGGGGGAGAGAGAGAGAGTTCTATGTGTTTCCTTCTAATACTCTTTGCCAAAAACTTCGGAACCTGATTTCTTATATTGAATACCAAACAAGTAAGTTAATATTAACCATGGTCACATATAAGCGATGCCACAAGTGTAGACAGGGGTCTCTGTGTGTTTCCTTCTAATACTCTTTGCCAAAAACTTCGGAACCTGATTTCTTATATTGAATACAAAATAACTAAGTTAGTGTTAACCATGGTCGCATATAAGCGATGCCACAAGTGTAGGGGGGACCTGGGAAACAGTCAAACTGACATCCATTGTTTCATATGACATGACACAATAAGGAAAGGGGAAGAAGAAGAAGAAGGAATGACTTCTAACCAAGAGCTTGCTAACAAATTAATATTTCCAGACTATGAATCTAGTCATCTATGGTGCAACTTCAAAAAACAAATATCATCTAACTTCATGCTAGTTATGCCACGGCTACATCTGAAAGCCAAATAAGTGTGATTCTTCAATTATCATATGCAATTCTAAAATTCAAAATGTTGAAAATTGCATACTTACATGAATGATCAGTACGGGGCAATTAACCAATGTGATTTTGTCAATGTTCTGCACCCAGTCAACACAAACACTTTTTAATTAGACAAAATGCAAGACCTTTCATGTGAACATAATACTAAGATAGACAGATGCTCTGAAGAAGATCAATGTTACCTTATATATGTCAAACCAATAAGAACGCTTCACAGGATACATGACTCTTAAGCCTGAAAGTATAGGACTATGCAGAACGACAGCCCTCAACAGAGGCAGACGAGCTGCAAGATCCAAAGTGGGGCCACTGCCAACGGATTGACCGTAAAGGATGATATTCTCCTGCTTTGCGCCATAGCTTTCCTCAAGACATTTATATACAGCCTCAATATCTGCGTAGGTATTTTGCTCACTTGGCTGCAACACAGGGAAGGTATGAGCTGTAGATGACACTTTTAGGCACTACAAGTCACACCGTATAACTTAATTAACAAGAAACTGTTATGTAGAAAAAAATTCAATTGTCACACACCTTCCCGGAAGACTGTCCGTACCCGGAATAGTCATACCTGCACAAAGTCAAATATGTATAAGCAAAGTGCCATTACTTTGCTTAAATTGTTAAAAAAAACATATATCCTGATTCTTGAAATAAGATTAGCAGATCAAGAAGCCCCAAAACCACCTCTTCAATGGAAAGGTAAAGCCATCGCTATAAAGGTAAATAGCTATAGGTAATATTGCCAATTCTTTCAAATAGAGAGATGACAATGAGTGGTTGTGATACAATTTAAAGGTAGAAATCACTATTCAATGGTTGTGAAGAAAGCAAGAAGATATAGCAAAGACACTATTGAAACACATTACAAGTTGAAGATTACCAAAACAATGTGAATTTATAGCTGTTTATCCCTCCTCTTTTTTTAGCTTATCAGTTTTCAATTTGGCAAATCAAAAATCTTAAACAGTTCCATCCAATCACAAACTGTTTCCAATCAAAAATCTTTTTTTAGCTTTTCAGTTTTCAATGTCATGACTAATATTTCTGACTATGTTAATATAGTAAATATAAAATGGCGTTCTTATTTTCATGTATATATATAAAAATATTTATGTTCGGTTGTTGTCGCAGCTCTATAGTGTTGTGTCCTGACTTTTAAGAAAGTATTGTGTCAACGTGCACGTATCATGTCGTATCAATGTCCTGTGCCCATGTTACTTCTTAAATGAAGGGTGGATCTTCATTGGACATTAATTGAGTGGAAAAAAAAAATGCTCCTCAACTCTTACAGTCTGGTTTGTTGGGGAGAGAAGAGGAAGGGGAGGGAGGGAGGGAAGAAGAAAATTGAACCTTTGCTATAAACATAATCCCTAAATAGAATGTTGTAAACATGTGAAGACAACATTAACTTTGGAATTAAGATCCCTGAAATGACAGATCAATGATGAACTTGATAATTGCAAATAACTTACCAAATAAAGAAAAATCTGAAATAAATAATTTTGCAGAAAAATTGAATACATTCCTATAAAACCCTAATGCTAGAAAGGATAAATTGCGACATAAATCAACCCAATTCTCCATTTTCATCTAACTTCCATCATCAATTCCATTAAATCAACGGATCAAAGATACTCAAAAAATTCCATTTCCTGTAAATTGAAAGCCCATAATTAATAATAACCGAAATCACACACACCCTCAAAAACCAGTAGAGATGAGTCCATCTCTCTCTCTCTCTCTCTCTCTCTCTCTCACACATAATCTCTCTCTAGCTCCCAAGACCAATCAATATAATCATGAATATGACGGCAAAACTAAAAGAAAAGAAGAAAAAAAGTAGTAGAAGAAAAAGCTTAAAAAGAAAACAAAACCCAGATGGAAGAATGAAGGAATTGCATAAATTAAAAAAGAAAAAGTTAGAAAGCTGCAGATAGACGCACATGAATATACCATAGGAATATGAAATCTACATGTTGGGGGAGAGAGAGAGAGTAGTAGTAGTAGTAGTAGTAGTAGTACCCCATGAGATTAACTTTTAAGTGGATGCTCAATTCGATGAAGAGGTCATACATCTGACCGAGATCGGCGGCGTTACCGTGAGAGTAGAGAAGAGTGGAGGTAGCCATGGGGTGTCGAATGTAGAGTGCAACTACCTCCGTCCCCTTCCTAGTCGGCAATTTCAACACTTCCACATTTTCCCTGTGTGGGAACGGACTCATCACCAACAGCCCCGTCATTCCGTCCCTCACCATCTTGTACGATGCCGGGTTTGGCGGAAAGAACGCGAACTTCGCCGCCATTGATGACGTCATCCCACCCATCTCTCTCTCTCTCTCTCTCTTGTGTCTTCGTTCTCTTTTTTCTTTCTTTTGAATTCGACTACCCTTCTCTACTACTAGTACCCTCTCTCTCCCTCTCTCCCTCTCTCTCTCTGTCTCTCTCTGATGCGTAATATTCTTTCCTGTAAGGACTGAGATATTGAAATCAGATCGACATTCCTCTTTTTTTTTTTTTTTTTGAAAAAAAAAAAAAAAAAATTCAGAAGAATGAACTTATTATTGGAGAGAGAAAGAGAGTGTGTGAGAGAGAGAGAGCGTTGCGCACACAATGTGCCTGTTTGGCAGAAATTATTTACAGCTTATTTCAGTTTTCAGCTTAATTTAAACTATTTTGATGTGTTTGGTTTAACTTATAGCTTATAGCTTATAGCTTTATGGAAGTCAGAAATCAGCTTATTCTTTGAGTGGAGCAGGAGATGCTTTAAGAATAAGTTATAAGCTATAAGCTGTTTAGGCATAAGGTATAAGCACTTTCTCACAGTTCTACCAAACAGAGCTAATACTGTAATTTTTTACTTTTAGGGGGTCATTACATGAGTCATTGACGCATGGTCCTTTACATTATTATTGTCGAGAGTGAAATATATGACCACCGTCTGAATTTCTATGCAATAATTTGAAATAATATGATACTATTGCTACTTTACGAAGTATGATTTTAAAATTATATATTCCTTCTGTCTTAATTTTGTCTTCATTAATTTGTATATTATAAAAAAATTAATTTATTAAAAAAACATACAAATAATTATATATTTTATTAATGTATGTTAAGGTAGAAAACAAAGTAAGAATATTTTAAAGTACAACAAAAAAAAATAAAATTCATGATAGAATATTTTTATTTGCATTCAAGATGGGAGAGAATCATTTACTTTCTATTTATTAATTCTTTTTTTAACTGGATTGGATAGTGCCAAATATAGAATTTTAAGGGTCGTTTGGTTTGTATTTCTGAAAAAATTTTGAGAAATTTTCTCTACAAATAAGTTTTTAAAAATAATCAAATTAAACAAATTTTTCCAAAAAAATTTCTCAAAACTTGTAAACCAAACAAGTTTTCCAAACAAATCTCTCTCTCACACACATCAAATCAATCACTTTTTCCAAAACTCTCTCTCAAAATAATTTTTCAAAACATCTTTTGAAAAAAATCAAACCAAACAATTTTTCGTACTTTTTATCTCTAAAACACATCTCTCAAACACAAACCAAACATACAATTAATATCCAACAAGCAAAATAATTTTTTATTGATAAGGTGTTAAAAAGAGCAAACATTGACTAACGGGAGAGAGAACTTAATTCAACCAACAAAAAAAACAAAACAAAACAAACAAAAATGTCACATTTGATTTTTATTTATTTGTTTAATTAATTTTCCTCTTTTGGTGTTGTCGAAACACTTTTTGAAAATTTGGGACGATTGTTTTGAGTTTTTAAGACAACTTGTCTTTAATGTAATGTGAACGTTTTGAGTTTTTAAGACAACTAGCCTTTAATGTAATGTGAGCCTCCAACCCTCAACCATGTCAACCAAAAACAAAAAAAACAGCTAATTACCGACAAACAAAAGTATGTGAAGGGCAGATTCAGGCAGGACAACGGTGCATTGAACAGATTTGCTGCATAAATAATATTATGAATTATAAAAAAAATATCATAAAATATTTTATAAAAAAAATTTATAAAATTTTTTTATCTTTAATTAGTTTATAATATTTATTATAGTTATAATCCAACGATATTTTTTTCATAATCCTCTAACATTACTCATTTCTGCGTCTCTTTCCAATTTCTAATCCGCATTTCCATTTTACTGTTAACTTTTCTTTTTCTCTTTTTAACATCTCTTCCAGTTATCATTGGTCCAAAACCAAAAACAAAAAAAGTAACTATATTTTTGTATTTCATTTCTTTTAGACTTTTCTCTCTCCTTCTTCATATAACTATTGTCGAATTATTTATATTTTATTTATTTATTAACAATAGCTCAATTGGAGGATGACTAAGAATAACAAAAAAATATCCTTAAAAAATAATATATAATTCAAATTCATTTCAAGTGTGATCATATTTAAAATAAATTTAAATCATACTAAATTTTTTTATATATATATATTTTTTTTGTATTTGGGTTTTAATCTCTAGCATTACTGATTTTGCGGCATGTTTCAAGGAGGGTTAAATCTTTGTTTAATAACAATACGATGATTACATTATCTTATCATAATTTATATTTTTCTCATAATATATAATTATTATATTAATTTAATAGATCTCCCACAACACATGATAAATAAAATGCCATAAAATAATAGAATATTACAACACAATTAATCATTTACCTTAACATAGGTTAATTATTTCTTTTCCACTACTCAAGGGCTTCTCTTACCTTAACATAGATTAATTATTTCTTTTCCACTACTCAAGGGCTTCTCTCTTCTCTCTCTCTCTCTCTCTCTCTCTCTCTCTGTTTTTTTTTTTTTTTTTTTTGGGAGTTTCCTTGTAATTGTACATTACTGTGTTGGGTTGACAACACATGTCAGTGTGCATTATAGTAATGATTTATCATAATCAATTGCAATGGTGACCCATGTAAAAATCAGCCCCTACCATAGACTCCAAGGACCTTATTGTCGGGAATAATAACCAAAATCACAGTAAAACAGAGAGAAACTGACTAAATAACAATTGAAATAAAGTCAGAAAAGACTGAACCAGCATACATATGTTTCGTGTCATAAAATTGGGATGGTCCATAAGGTTAAAGACAAACTGTGGGGGACCTCACTGCAATTGACCATATCTGAACTCTTCTGCAGCAAGAGAACCCGAAAACGCTTATCACTCCTATCCGATCCAATGACCCTTATCAGTCTCCCTATATTGACAAAACAAGGTTAGTACAATGGGTGAGAGTGAAACTGAGGTGATCTTTAGATTCATCTCATCTGAGATTGCAAGGGACGTGACTCTGTAAAACATTCAATGACAGCTTCAAACTTAAGGATTGGAATTCTGACACTATGGCCACCAGAATTCGTATTAAAATGGCAACCCCACTTGATTATTTTAAGGCAGCAATGGATACTCGGGGTTTTAAGATTGTGTAAGGTGTAAGTGAAGTTGTCCCCTCCATCAAGAACATTGAGTATCAAAATTAGGAAGTATTGTCCCCCTAATCTAGAGCAGTGTAGGTATACCCACCGCTTAAAAACACACAAATGCCTGTGTTCAGATCATCCAAACATAAAGATGCATGACATGGTTACAATAATTGTTATGCCAAATAACTTCAGCAGGGAGAGAAGTATCCTCAAAGTCAGGATCATGGTTAGCATCTGTGATCATATATGTCTCTTTCTCAAAGTTTAATTGCAATTACTTATCTACCATATAGTTCGTTCCACACAGCAGCACCAAAAGAGAGAAAAAAAAAAAATTCTAAAGTGAAGGCTGAGGGTAGAAAATGCTTTTTTTATGAGAACGAACTAGTGAATGAGAGAGATCCAAAACAATGTGATATCCTGTTTTGACAAGACTATATGTGAATGGGGTATTTTTAATCTTCGGCCATCATTTCAGCCGATTGACAAGATGAAAACTGGTTCCACACAAGGCATCACACAATCAATGAAGAGAGCAAACAGAGCAAGGAACTATAGGCCTACACCAATTATCTCAAAAAATTGAACCCACAACAACATTTGACTTCTAATATGTCTTTCGCAACTAGTACTTACTGAAAACGCGGTGGCTAAGTATCAACAGATTTCCCAATCAACTCATAATTGTACTGTCTTTTACAATAAACTCACGATAACCAAAAAATCCAGAACTACAGCACCATCCCCAAAATTCTGCCCAATAATTGACTAAATAAGTTATGTGATAAGTCCCAAATATTAACCAAATTAAGAAAGTCATTCTCTTTCTACAAAAGAATGCCTCATTTTTATCAGTTAGCAACTTTCTGGTAGATAAGTCACAAAGACCCTGGAACAGAGATGGGGGCTAGACTTCATTCCAACGAATGGAAACACTTCAGATCATTTGTTTATGGCTCTAAATGATCCCTAAAGTGAGCTTTACAAGAATGGTTTTGTTTTTTTGTCAACCAGGCAGTAACAAACAACACCTTGGAAATGAAAAATTATATATATATATATATTTGCATTTTAACTTCCATTTCAGTCCATTCTTCGTTTTATTTTATTCCAATTTTATAATGTAACAAGGCTATAGACTTCAACTTTACGGCTTCTCAGTGAAACATATCATTAGGTTTTCCCAGGCTTTACTGATATAGAATGAACTACACTTAAAAACCATAAACTGTCTTAAAATCACTAAATAAAACAAAAACTACTGAATTTTTTAAGTATTTCGATCTGTTACGGCAAAATTTTCTTTTAAACCAAAAGGCCATTTCCAAGATCCAAAGGTTCTACATCATACGCTAAGGCTTCATTTGTTTGTGGGAAAAAAAAAAGTGTGGGATTAGATAAATAATCTTTGGGGGCCCACAAAGCCCATGTATTTTTTAGGTAGGCCACATACCCCATTTTTGGGTGATCATAAAGTGACTGGATAATTTCTCCAGCCTCGACTTTATATCCATTGAATATTGGATAAAAATACCGGAACAAGATGGATCGTGGGATAAACTGGTACATGAGCCAATGGCAATAATGTATGATCCCATCCATTATCGCACACAACCCAAACACAAGATGGGACTGGATAGAAGTAGAAAATAGTCTTGGAATTGGATGTCTCAGGAAAAATGATCTCAGGACATTCAAACCTTCCAATCCTTTCTATGAAACAAACACAACCGAAGTGTTGTCTAATTTCTTAGGTTTGAATCGCATGATAAATCATGATGCATTAACTTATACAGACCTTGATAACCAAGATTGTGAGATACTCAAAAGTTTAGGTAGTTTTATAAGATTAAGCATTTAAAATTTTAAAATAGGTTAGAGAGATGGGGTTTTGCATCCACACTAAGTCATTGATTATGCAAAGAAGGTAACCGTTATAAATTTAATCTGTCTCTCTCTTTTTTTTATTTTTCTTTTGGTTTTGATCAGCAACAAATAGTAGTTAAAAGTAAACATGGTCACTTCTATCTAAAAGCAGACAGCATTTTTTGTTTAAAAACCAATGCTTCACTCTCTGAACCTCATCAGACATTGTTTTATCTTCAAGATTCTTCATTGAAACTTCAACATCGTAAGCCAACCTCAAGCATGCCAAAAGATTAAGTCAAAATAAAATCATAAAATCACATGTACCACAACTTACAAATAATTTTAAAATTCTATATACCCCCAAATTCTTCTTGATTATCTAAATCCAGGATAACAAAATCCTTTCCGTCTAATTCCATATAACTTTTCTAAGAGAATGATCCCATCAAATATTCTAATCCTAATGAGTACGCCTTGTACACAAATGATTCAGGGCACATGCTTTGATTTTAGTTGAAAAGAATATAAACTATCATGAAAGAATAAAACATATTTAGCACAAAAATCTTTAAAAACCAAATTATGAGAAAGCACCCCAAAAATCTTTGGAATTAAGCAGGTTTGTAAGAGCATGGGAACTATAATGATATCCCTCTCCATGCAATTAATAAACTACACCCATTTGTCAGAATAGTAAGCCCATCTTCATGTAGGCCACATAACCAAATTGATCCATGGTCACCTGTTTCATTTAATTACTTGTTACCCATTATTAAAATACTATAATCTGTCGGAGATGATTTTAGTGGTTCGCAAACAACAAATGGTCCAAAAGAGAAACTTTATTGTACCAACTGATTCCACGGTCCTTACCGTGGAGTATCAGCAACAAAAATGAAGTGTGCCGGCAACACTATATGGTCATTTTAACATCATTCAGAATTTCTTTCACTATGTTCTTTTAGTTCCCAAAGCGAAAGTGAAAGAATCAAAACCAGAAACGTTTAATTCCTTGCTTCTATTTCCTTAATCTGAAGATAATTAAGTTAAAACACCGACACAGAATTAAAACGAGAGAGAACAACATGAGCCAAGTTTCTAATTATGCTACCTAATAAAAACACTCAGAGAAGTTATGAACAATAATCAAGGCAACGGTCCAACAAAAGTAAAGATTTTACATATGTATGAATAAAGCATGTTCTGTATGGGATGTCTTTTCTTTAGGCCCAAGTAACATGAAACTCTAGGGGCATGTTTGGTAATCTTTAGGTTTTTTTTTTTTGAAAGTAAGAAATTGAGATAGTTTTCTTTCCTATAAAAAAATGGTTAAAATAGTTTTTGGAATTAGCACCTATCATAAAAAATGGTTGTCTTTCATGAGAGATTCATTTTAGTTAGCTAGGATTTTTCAAAAGGATTTGATGAAAAAAAATAATTAAGGATTGGAATGCTACATATCATATCAAACTTTAAACCAAATTTACTCTCAGATTTTATGGAGAGAGAAAGAAAGAGTAAGGTAAGTCTTATCCTCCAATGAAATTTGTACTTTCCGAATTTCTCTCGATACATGTCATCTTCCTGTACATTTAATTTCATGCCGTTAATGAAATTTTTCTTTGCTGATCAAAAATCTGAGAGTATTGGATAAAGTGACTGGATAATTTCTCCAGCCTCGACTTTATATCCATTGAATATTGGATAAAAATACCGGAACAAGATGGATCGTGGGATAAACTGGTACATGAGCCAATGGCAATAATGTATGATCCCATCCATTATCGCACACAACCCAAACACAAGATGGGACTGGATAGAAGTAGAAAATAGTCTTGGCATTGAATGTCCCAGGAAAAATGATCTCAGGACATTCAAACCTTCCAATCCTTTCTATGAAACAAACACAACCGAAGTGTTGTCTAATTTCTTAGGTTTGAATCGCATGATAAATCATGATGCATTAACTTATACAGACCTTGATAACCAAGATTGTGAGATACTCAAAAGTTTAGGTAGTTTTATAAGATTAAGCATTTAAAATTTTAAAAATAGGTTAGAGAGATGGGGTTTTGCATCCACACTAAGTCATTGATTATGCAAAGAAGGTAACCGTTATAAATTTAATCTGTCTCTCTCTTTTTTTTGCTACAATACCTAAAAACAGATTTCACAAAACTTAATCAATGTTATTTATCAAACTTAAAAAAGTAATTTGAATTTTTCCCTATTTCTTTTCCCTAGTGGAGAAGCTACAATACCTAAAAACAGATTTCACAAAACTTAATCAATGTTATTTATCAAACTTAAAAAAGTAATTTGAATTTTTCCCTATTTCTTTTCCCTAGTGGAGAAGCTACAATACCTAAAAACAGATTTCACAAAACTTAATCAATGTTATTTATCAAACTTAAAAAAGTAATTTGAATTTTTCCCTATGGATTGGTGAAAGAATGAGTGGGAAAAAAAGAAAAAGAAAAAAAAACCAACAAAAACAACTACTTTCCAAGGAAGGAAAAACATTATCCAATGAACATCAAATTGTCTCTTTTATATCAAAGCCCATATGAGTGAGCTTGACAATCACATTTCATCACACTGGAATCTTATTACACAAGAGCAAAAAGCATTATTCATATTTCAATCGCAATAGTGTAATAATAATCGTTCAACATCGGGATATTTCAGTCAAGTATGTTGGTAGCAGGATTCTCATCGTGGCAACATATGAAGGTGATGTGCTTCTCCATGCTACGCAAGCACTTTGGGCATTTCATGCTCTCCGGTATCCTTCCCACCATGCTTGGGAATTCGAAGCGACAACACGGGTGCTCAATCCCATGAAGCCTCTCATGGTGATCTTTGAACGATTTATCGAACCCTATGGTGACCACATTTTGTTTCCATATATCAGTGTACTCCACCAAAGTAGGTAACACTGTGGTCCCATGCCCATTGACCACCACCTCCGATCCCTTGCAGAACACAGCCCATCCTCCTCTGCTCTTGTCATAGCTAAGCAGTTTTTTGATTTCTTGCATCATGGGGTCGTAATCATCAGCCTTGCCAAGTTGAATCTTGGAGAAGAGCATGCTCTCTAGCCGAGTCCAGAAAAACCATATCATAGGCTCTTGCCAGGCAGTCCCCATTTTACCAGTATTGATGGCTTGAATGGCTCGCCTGACTTGTTCCCTTCTGCTACTCTTTCCGACATAGACCATCTCCAGAGGGATGTGTGCGTCCCGCGCAACAGAGTCTGCCATGGTTGTGAATCTTCGTATCCACTCAATGTCATCCCCTCCATACAAGAAAATGTATTTTCCCTCTCTAATCTATAATAAAAAGAAGTCGATTCGAATCACATGTTAGTTATCAAACCCAATAATTTGATCATATCAGTTTAAAAGGTAAAAAGTATTATATGGAGATGACATCCAATTTGAAATAGTCAATTTACTGTTGAATAAATTATTTTGCCTTTTGAGTTTTATTATATTTCTTAATAGATGTCATCAATTGGACCAAATTAATGTAACAATAGTTATCTAGCTAGACAAAATAAAATAGTAAGTTTTTATGTTTTTTTTTATGTTTACCCAATTGAGTATCGTTTGGTCGATACCATTCACCAGCAACTCAACCTTCCAAGTCTCTTCCTTCCAAAGGGCTTCCTCTCTCAAGCTGGTAAAAGGAAACGCATTGTTTCCCCATATCCACATCATGGGGATGGCATTGGGGCTCACCACCTTACCTTGTGGGTCCAGCACCACAAGGATGGGCTTGTTCTTGAAATGCCACCTCTCCTTGATGAACCTAATCACCAATCGATCAATCAATGAGGGGTGGTGCACCGTGTACCATGTCATCGTGGATTGCATGCTCTCAAACTGCCTTTGCATGGGCTCTGTCCACTGCACTGATTGGTTCACAATTGGGATCCAGACCATCTCAAACAGATTCTCCAACCTTGTTCCATATTGACGAGAATCATTATAAATCTGTTCGAGAATTGAAAGCTCATCCAGAGAGATGTCTAGGCTTGATATCAGCAATAATACATTCTTCCTCCTCAAAACTTCCAGATTATCCAGTTTTTGGCCATACAGGCAAAGAAATCAGTAAACATGCAACGGCTACAAATGTTGAAAACAAGTAGGCAGTGTTTGTTTGGTTGGATTAATAGTCCTGGGAATATTAATCCCTTACGAATTACGATTATGTATCCTATCCCACATTTGGAATGTTTAGATTAGGGAGGGGGATTAGTAGAATCCTATTCTATCCCTCTTTTTTTTTGGGGGGGGAGGGGGGGTTGGAATCACTAGACATAAACTACATCATAGTGTAATGACTGTAATTTGAGGATATTTTTGCCTTTCAGCCCCCTAATCTGGACACCCTATAATCCCCCGTTTTGTATCCCATTACCCTAGTTCCTCATATGGGGAGATATAAGGGCCTATCAATCCAAAAATTCACTTTTGTATCCAAATATGAGATTCGAGATTGACTAAAGATACATAGTCCAATGGACTAATCCCACAAACAAATACAACCACCTTAGTCTACTCATAATCTTAACATGTGTCATTGATAGATTCATCAGACTAATGGTAGTTACTATACTACTAGTAGAGTCAATGTTCAAACCCTTCTCTTAGTAGAACCATCAAAGAGTGGTTGCAGATCATCCTTGGGATAAATCAGCATCCTGAGAACTTTCATGTTGTCTATGTAGACCATTTCAAAGATATGCAGCAGTGCCTCATAAGCTTCAACATTCTTTTTCTCCTCTGGCATCAAACAATAATATTTAGTTAGAATTAGTTCATCCACATGTAGGACATTACAATGAGCAATTGTGTTAAAAGTTTAATTTGATTAAGTCTTTGCTTGTCCAAATTTTTAGGAGTCTGTTAGTTTACCAAGTCCATAGGAGTCTGTTACAACTATGGTTAGTCAGTTCCTAAATTTGTTTTTCCACAGTCAGTTAGTTCCTTATTTGTTACTGTGTTAGTTCATGTACTCTACTATTTAAGTAGCTGATTACAGTGAATAAAGTACTTTAATTTTTCCATTAGTTTTTTCTCCCAATTTCGTATCAGTGGTATCAGAGCCAAATACTCTGAATTGGAAAGTAGACAGTGTACTCAGAGCTGAAGCTCTTGTCTACTCTTTGGTGTGTTTTTTTTATTTTATTTCTGAGCAATAGCAGTCAATCTCTCTTAATGGCATTAGAGACTTTTGTGCAACCTGCTATACCTAGATTTGATGGTCACTATGACCATTGGAGCATGCTGATGGAAAATTTCTTGAGATCCAAAGAATATTGGCATCTCGTTGAAACTGGTCTTCTAGAAACAGAGTCTAGCACCTTGACGGATACTCAGAAAACGAAGCTGGAGGAACAGAGATTGAAGGACCTGAAGGTAAAGAATTACTTGTTCCAAGCAATTGATCGAACAATCTTGGAGACGATTCTCACCAAAGATACTTCAAAACAAATATGGGACGCAATGAAGCAGAAGTATCAAGGTACTGCAAAGGTGAAACGAGCACACCTTCAAGCACTTCGTGTGGAATTTGAGACTCTTCGCATGCAACCGATAGAGTCAATTGAGGAATACTTCTCCAGAACCATGTCCATCGCAAACAAGATGAGAACCAGCGGAGACAAGATGGAAAACATTACCATAATCGAGAAGATTCTTTGATCGATGACCTTGAAGTTTGAACATGTGGTCTGCTCGATTGAGGAATCAAAGGATCTTGATGCCCTTTCCATTGAAGAATTGATGAGTTCGCTTAGAGTCCACAAGCAACGGATTAATCAGCATGTAGCAGTGGAGCAAGCATTGCAGCTACAATACTCATCCAACAACCAATCTTTCCAAAAGAAGGGATACGGTCAAGGAAGGGGAAGAAGCAGCAACAGTAACAATGATCACTCCACACATGGCAATCAAGTTCATGACCCTAAAGGTAGAGGTAAAGGACGAGATAATCATCAAAGTGGAAACCAGGAATCAAAACCATTTGACAAATCCAAAGTCAAATGCTACAGATGTCAAAGGTATGGTCATTATTGTTCTGAATGTAGGACTAAATTGTATCAAGAAATGGGAGCAAAATCAAATTTTGCGGAGAAGGAAGAAGAGGTTTCTCTTCTTATGGCTTGCAACATAACTGAAGATACCCATAAAAGAATGTGGTACTTGGACACAGGATCTAGTAATCATATGTGTGGAAACAAGTCTATATTCTCTGAATTAGATGAGTCATTCCATTCCACTGTCAAATTTGGAGATAATTCTACTATCTCTGTTATGGGGAAGGGCACCATTCAAATTCAGACTTCCAAAAGTGCTAAACAGACTATTTCAAATGTGTTTTATGTACCAGGTTTGAAAACTAATCTGTTGAGTGTAGGTCAACTTCAAAAAAAGGGATATGAGATCATCATTAAAGAAGGAACCTGCAGAATTCATGATCCAAAGATGGGTCTGATCACTCAAGTGAATATGACAGCAAATCGGATGTTTCCTCTATACATCCAGAATGATATCCTTCCTTGGTTTTCTGCTATGGTGAAAGATTTAGCTTGGCTATGGAATTTTCGTTATGGGCATCTGAACTTCTCTGGCTTAAAGTTGCTCTATCAAAAGAATATGGTGACTAGTCTTCCACAGATTGATCATCCTCAGCAAGTTTGTGAAGAGTGTATCATCGGCAAACAGCATCATGAACATTTCCCAAAAGGACAAGCATGGAGAGCCAAGATGGTGCTGGAATTGGTTCATTCTGATATTTGTGGGCCTATTAATCCACCATCCAATGGTAACAAAAGGTACTTTATTACCTTTATTGACGACTGCAGTAGAAAAACATGGGTCTATTTCTTGCAGGAAAAATCTGAAGCTTTCTTGGCATTCAAAAATTACAAAGCTCTTGTTGAGAAAGATGTTGGGAAATCTATCAAAACTCTTCGAACTGATCGTGGTGGGGAATACAACTCACGGGAATTTGCAAATTTCTGTGAGATGCATGGAATCAAAAGACAACTTACAACATCCTACATACCACAACAAAACGGTGTTGCGGAGAGGAAAAATCGTACAATCTTAAATATGGTGCGGAGTATGCTGAATAGAAGTCCTCTTTCGAAGAGTTTCTGGCCTGAGGCAGTCTTGTGGAGTATACATCTCCTAAACAGAAGTCCAACCATGGCAGTTCGTAATTGGACTCCTGAAGAAGCTTGGAGTGGTAGAAAACCGAGTGTCGACCACTTACGGATTTTTGGGTGCATTGCATACGCACACGTTCCAGAAGAAAAGAGGAAGAAACTTGATGATAAAGGAGAAAAGTGTATTTTTCTAGGGGTTAGTGAGCACTCAAAGGCTTATAAATTGTATAATCCCATCACCAAGAAAATCATCGTAAGTCGGGATGTAATCTTTGATGAAGAGCAAACATGGACAAATAATGTCAATAGTTCAAGAAAAAACATTATTGTGAGCTTTCATGAGGAGGAAGAAGAAAGACATCCATAGCTTACTTTTAGTTAATAACAACTCTACAAGTCAACCAACATTAACACTTGAAGAATATTACTTAGAAATTCAAACACATTTTGATTTGAACGTAACAAAAAAGACAAGCATGGATGAAAGATTATAGGTAAGTAGAATTGATCAACCAGATGATCCACTTACACAGTTTGCAAATTGTGATCATGTTACATTTCAAGAGGTTGTCAAAGATTTAAAAAAAAAAAAAAAAAAAAAAAAATCGCAAAAACATCAGACAATTTAAAATTATATTATCAAACTGCAGTAAAATATTAGTTAAAATTAATTTTTCTAACATTTTTAAATGTAAAATTATAATTGCCCTTTAATTTATATTTTTTTAGATTCGCCATTAGTTTATTAGGAATCCCTAAAATTTGATTAAATTTAGAAGCCAGCCCTTATTCGCCTTGGGCTAAGATCGATTCTAGACCGCACGCTACCTAATTTCATAACTAACTCTTTCTTAATTTAAGTTAATACATACATTCTTATTTTATATATTGTATTTTGTCTTAATCATGTTATTGAATAAAATTGTATTATTCCATAATACTTTTATAACAATTTTATAGTGCCAGAAAATCTTGGTCAAGGTCATAAAATGAATACTGCTTGAGAAGAATGCAATTTACAGGCAAAAACAAGTCATAAATGTTTTAAAATCATAAATTCATGAAAAATAACTTTATAAAAACTAAATCGATGGTACTAGGTGTGAACCAATTCATGAATCAACTGTGAATTTATATGTATTGCAAACCGGATGATACACGTACTTCTCATTCTCACTTACATACACAAATACACATCAATACACATCACGTATATGAGCCAATACTGTAATGAAACTCCTCCAATAGTCCACACTATTTCTGTTAGTAACTTGAATGATGATGTTTCAGACTACATGCTTCAAGAAGGAAAAAAAGTAATATAGTTGTACTAGGAATACATAAGATTTTCACATAATAGAACACAAATGTGAGAAAACTCTTTGTCGATTGTCTCACATTTGTGTCTCATTCTTGTTTTACATCTGCATCCCACCCCATTGGTTTCTCTATATAAGGAGAGCCTCTCCTTCCATTAGAGAGGTTAGAAAATTTGATATATAAGATATATATATCACTCTCTCTATATATCTCTCTCTCTCTCTACATTTGGGTGGGTCAAAGGGTCCAAAAGGGTCCAGTTCTTGGCCATTTGAACTACACCTCCTAGCACAATACTTCCATCATCACTTGGAGGTTCTTGGGTCTTGTTTTCAGAGGTTGAGGGTTGCATTTTTGGGTCTAGAGGCTGCTGTCCCCTTTTGGTTACAAAGGTAACCCATTTTCCCTCTTTATTCCCCGTTTTTGCACACCATTTTAGCCTGTCTTGCTTGCTGATTTGAGCTTTGTGTATAACATAAAAAAGTTCTGTTTTTTTGTGTTTAAGATACTTCATTAAGGACACTTTTGTGTTTGGGGTCGTTTACCCCCTCTTAGGCCTTGTTTGGCCCCATTTTGTGCTATTTTTGGTGAGTTTCGGGACCATCTTGTTTGGGCCTCCTCACCACTGAAATCTTGAGGGATTTCAGTGGTGAGGATGGTGGCTTAAGGTCCTAAGAAGGAGAGGGCCATCCCCTCTCCTCGTTGTCTTCAAAAAATGCCATTTTAGCCTCATGTGTGAGCACCATTTTTAAGCTCATGTTGGCCATGTCTTAAGTGTTATTTGTGCTTATTTTGCCATGATATAGCACTGTTTTTAATTGGTTTAGACACACCATGCTTGCTTTGCATACTTGTCTTGTAATGCCATGAAAGTGCCTCAACATGTATATAGTATTTAGACCACTATGCTTACTTATTTTGGCTTAGCTTTGTGAAGCTTTTATGCATGTTTTAGTGTGCTTAAGGTCTGTTTTTGGTCATTTGGGTCATCCATGCTTTGCTTTGTATAGCTACCATGCAATCTCCCTTGTAGGCCTTGAGTGTTGACCCCCCTAGCATGCTTTACTTGCTTTGTTTCAATGGTTTGGAACCATTTATCATGCCATTTCAGACCTTATAGCATGCTTGTATGCTTGCATTTGATGCTCCTTTAATGCTTTAAAAGGTTGGTATCTTATGCTCCATGTTTTGGCCATTGCGTATGCCTTTGAATTTGAGCCACTTAGATGCCATCTAGGGGGTCCCCTTTGCATGGTCTAGGTCTGCCTTGAACCTATTTTAAGTCTCCTTAGCCTTGTAAGGCTTGGTTGGCTTGGTCATGGTTCAAGTCCCCTTGACTTGCTTCAAGTACTTGGACCATTTGTTGCATGCTTAGCTTGATTTGTTGCTTGGTTTGGCACCTTGTTTTAACATGATTTTCAGAGCTTATGTTGCATGCTAATTGTCCATGATATCCTTCTTTCAAATGTGTTTGGGAGTTGCCTCACTTGTGCCTAAGTGTTGGCCTTAACATGTGCATGCGTGTATGTGCATTTGGTCCCTTATTTTGGTCACTTTGGCCGCTGTTTTGGGCCTATTTAGAGTTGCCTAAATCATGTTTAAGTCCACCTTTTCATTGGTTGGCATTGCCTCATGTTTGCTTGTATGCTTGCATAAATGTCTTGCCATGCCATGTTGCATCCTTAGCTTGTATGTCTAGGTTGCATTGCATCTTGCATACATGCCTTGTTCCTTGAATTGGTGATAGGAATTGGGCCTTGATTTGTTTGTTTGGTTTGCATTTCATTTGACATGAAAGTTGCACACTTGGTCACTTGGGCTATCATGCATGGAAATGCGTGATTGGTGGTCCGAGAACCAAGAAGTATGTCCCTTTGAGTCATTACCATGATAAGAGACATGATTGGTGCATATATGCCTTGAATTGTGCTGCCATGCTTTGCCTTGCCCTCTGTTGCTGTCAATTGCAGGTTCTGCAGGCATTCTCTGCCGACCGGCAGTGAACATTGCCGACCGGCAATTATTCTTCTGCCGATGGCTTCATTTTGTGCCCGTGACCACATACCACTGCCGGTGGTAATTTTATTCAGCCGGTGGTGATTCCCAGTATCCAGAGAGGCATCCCTGGGACTTTGGCAGTTTTCAGAGAGGCAGAGCAGGGAAAACAGAGGCAGACTATGCATGGCGGTGCACTTCCGAGCAAGACCCGAGCACGCGTTGCATCTGGCCCTCCTCCCGAGGCGGTTTACTGTTTTTCCTAGTTTAATTAGTTTATTAATTAATTAGGCAATTTGTAACATTTAATTAGCTTGCGTAGTTAATTAATTTGTAATATTTATTCGGTCCCTCCGAGCGAGGGCAAATCTGTAATAAGCGTGCGTGCGTGTGTGCATGTCTTCCAACCCCCACTTCTTTCTCCCTTTTACTTACCTGCTTTTGATGGTTAGTATTAGGTCATATTTAAATTAGCATATCTTATGCTATGCATGCGTGCATCCATACATTTGTCTCGAATGCACCGGGCTCGGCACATCAAACTAACTGCATTGTATTTCTATTCCAAGTTGAATACGTGTTAGTTGTAGCATCGTCATATGCCATCCATAGATTAGCCGAGCCTATTGTAGTTGCATCTTGCATGTGTTGCATTAGCCATCTTAACATGAACTAGGATCATGCATATGATTACTAACTAGTTTCTGTTTTGGCTTGGAGTACTCGGTGAGCGTTTATATTTTAGCATCATTGCATGCGTGTGAGTGTTACCATGACAGCATACTTACCATGAGGCTACTTGCTTATATGATATAACTGCTTGAATGCCTGTGGGTGGAGGTTGAATTACCTAAATTGGAATAATGCATTAAAACTGTGAGTTTTAAGCCCACTAGATAGTGGCAAAACCATCTTTTCTAAAGCCCACTTGAGATTGGTAAAATCTACATTTTAGCCTACTCGCAAGTAGCAAACCATTTTCAAAACAAACATGAAACGTTTTGTTCCAATTCAGGCGATTTGGTCTATACTTGTTTGCTGTGCGCATAACATAGTAATTCTAGGCTAATAATCGGGATAAGAACACATAACGTTTTCAAAAACGGATATCACGGTTAGTAGAGGCCGATCTTCGGATCGGGCGAGAGGGGGTGCTCATAGCTGACCTTCCCCGATCGTACCCAAGTTCCCGAGCCGAGGCAACTTTGGTGATGACGGACACGTGGCCTTTGGCACCGAGTCAGGGTTTCCTAAATTCCCCATAAAAATATTTAGGTGGCGACTCTGTATCTGGCAAAGCAGTCCATGTTTGGCACTTCTTTTCAAAAATCTGTTTCTCAAAACGATTTGCCAGATTTGGACTCTTTGGTTCAGATTAAGAACCGTGACACAAATCGAGTCCGAACTGTAGCGGGGTCCCTCGCGGACGTGTTACATCAGCCTCCGGGGTATGTGCAACAAGGGAATGTGAAAAAGGTATACAAGCTAAAAAAAGCCCTGTATGGGCTAAAACAAGCTCCTCGAGCTTGGTATAGTCGCATAACTACATATTTTTCCAAATCAGGCTTTCAACAATGTCCATATGAGCATACTTTGTTTATCAAATCTAAATCTACTGATGAGATTTTAATTGTGTGTTTATATGTGGACGATATAATCTACACTGGAAACAATAGTGCTATGTTTGATGATTTCAAGCAATCAATGATGATTGAGTTTGAAATGTCTGATCTTGGACTGATGCACTACTTTCTTGGCATTGAAGTAGCACAATCTTCTGCTGGAATCTTTATTTCACAGAAGAAATATGTTCGAGAAATGCTGGACAAGTTTCAAATGGTGAATTGTAATTCAGTTACTACACCAGTTGAACATGGTCTTAAGCTAATCAAAGACCATAAAGGAAGGAAAGTAGACAGCACTCTTTACAAGCAAATCGTCGGAAGTCTTATGTATTTGACTACAACCAGGCCAGACATTATGCACGCAGTTAGTCTTATCAGCAGATACATGGAAAATCCTACGCAGTTGCATCTCCTTCCTGCCAAAAGAATTTTCAGATACTTGGTTGGGACCATTAATTTTGGTATTCTTTATAGAAAGGAAGGAAATTTTGGGTTACTTGGCTTCACTGATAGTGACTGGTGATCCAGATGATAGAAGAAACACCTCAGGTTATGTCTTTATGATGGGCTCAGGTGCTGTTTCTTGGTCATCAAAGAAACAACAAATTGTTACTTTGTCCACTACCGAAGCAGAGTTTGTTGCTGCTGCGTCGTGTGCTTGTCAAGCAATTTGGTTGAGGAAACTACTTGAAGAATTACATTATCATCAACAAGGTCCCACTCCAGTGTATTGTGATAGTAGTTCAGCAATCAAACTGTCAAAAGATCCTATTCTACATGGGAGAAGCAAACATATTGATGTACGGTATCATTTCTTACGGGATCTCACAAAGGATGAAACCATTGATCTGATCTACTGCAGAAGTGAAGATCGGGTTGCTGATATTCTAACCAAACCCCTCAAATTGGCCATTTTCGTGAAGCTGCGGAGATTGCTTGGTGTTTGTTCAATGGAGAATACAATTTGAGGGAGGCAACTAAATAAGCTGGTGAAGTTCTCTAAATAAACTGAATGTCAAAAGAGCACTCAGTTTAAGAAAGGGTGTTAAAAGTTTAATTTGATTAAGTCTTTGCTTGTCCAAATTTTTAGGAGTCTGTTAGTTTACCAAGTCCATAGGAGTCTGTTACAACTGTGGTTAGTCAGTTCCTAAATTTGTTTTTTCACAGTCAGTTAGTTCCTTATTTGTTTCTGTGTTAGTTCATGTACTCTACTATTTAAGTAGCTGATTACAATGAATAAAGTACTTTAATTTTTCCATCAGTTTTTTCTCCCAATTTCGTATCAAATTGAGTCCTCCTAGTTATATATATCCACACAATTGACATAGCGTTTAATTACCTATGAGTTTGTAGCAGAGATCGAGTTGCTTCTTAAGATGGTCATGTATGCTGTTGATCTTGTGAGCCAAGGTGGATAGCTCCCATGCCTCTGTAGTAGATGCTGCATATCTGAAATTATATGTACATGTAGTGTCAAGAAAGAAACTACATATGTATATAGGTCATGTAACATTGTTTCAGTGATAATTTTTGACATCATATATCCATTAAATTCCACCAAGGTTAATTCTCAAAATCATAGACTGTTATTGAAGTTGAAACGCCACCATTACATGTGATCAATTGCTATAATTTTTGTACCCCTAAATTGATATTTTGAATAAGGTAATGCATAATTAATTTTTGTTTATCAAATAAACATTTGATGACGCATTTTATATCAACTGCATTCATTAACGGCAAAAACATACTCATGGCCAAAGCAAGCAAGGCAAGTGATCTGAGTTGCGCAAGCAAGCATGCCTCTGACGGTCCAATAGACAGCAATTGGGATAGTGGCCGTGGCTGCTGACAAGGCAGGCGTATCCTGTGTGACATATGAAGAGGGTAGCTCCGTCAACGCCACTATGCACCGGCTCAAATCCAACATGGCCGTGATTAGATTGCTTAGTGCATCAAACCGGGATTTCAGTGGGCCAGAGCCATAGTGCTCTATGATGAGTGGCAATTGCTTAAGCATTGCCATTGATTTTGCAAGTGGGTTTGATGTATGAATCTGAAGGAGGAGCCAGAAGTGTCCATAGTACAATGCCAAAGCTGATAATGTTAACACCAGCTTAGCATCCCACGAATAGCTTGATAGCATGTTAAACATTGAGACTGTCACTTGATGCACATCTGTGCCACCAATACACTTGAATTGTATCTGTTAATACATATTAAAATTGATAAATAGTAATGCAAATAGTTAATTAGATAATTAACAAAAACTAAAATAAATAAATCTCTAGATGCCAATGAATTGGTTAAAATAAAATTTTTTAAAAATGATACAAGTTATAGGAATGATATAGGGGATCCAATAAACGCCTCTTACCCTAGTCTTTATCTCATGATTGGAGCATTTCTTACATATTGCATAAATACTACAAAAGGACATGCATGCATTTTTGTATCATGTATTGTATTGTACAAAATAAGAAATATGAAACTACTGTAATTTTGTATGTGTTAAAATAAATTTATGAGCAAAGTTAATCCCATTTTTTAACCTCATTTTTCTCCCTACCAAAAACAAAGCAATGGGACTCACATTAATAAATTTACTAGAGATCCACTCACTTTGTGTCTAGATGTGAGAAAATAGGATAAGAAATTAGATTATATGTAGCATTTTTCTAAATTTATGATCACCTCGCTGGTAAGTCGATCAATTATACGAAGCACTGACTCGAGTGAGTATCGGCGGCCTTTGTCATCCATCTGTTCCACGTGTGCTTCGATGCCCATGCTCTAGAGTCAAATCACAAATGAATTAATCAGCAACGACAACGGAAAAAAATTGCAGATTTAATATAATTTGCTGCATTGCATCTCTTTTGCTTAAACCAAATGATAATAATAATTAATGATGACATTCATTTTTGCAGCACTTGATGTTGACATGAGTGGAACATAAACTTCATTTTGTTTAAGGAAGAGGAGGATTAATGTAGAATTTATATTTGTACCGTCACGGAGCTTAGAGCATGCATGCCGGAACGGGTGAGGATATCCTCAACGATTTGAAAAATAAGTCTGACGTTGATTTCATGGCCATCTCGAGCATGAGTTGCCTGAATTTGCTTCATCAGCACAGAGTCGTCGGAGCCCATCAACATACTTCGGTCACTTTTGATCAGTTCCTGCATGGAACCTGGTGTCACCTTGGCCATGTTAGGCTACGTAGACAAAAGCAAGACAAGTGCAAAAACTCTTTCTAAAAAGAGAATAGGAAGGCTTGTGTTGTGTGTCTTCTTGCAATCTGACTTGCCCTTTATATAGAACTCAGAAATGATTTTTTTTTTTTTTTTTTTTTTTAAAAAAAAGGCATCTGCTATATCAGCTTACTTGCTTGCTTACAGTGAAATTAAAATTCCCCAACAATAAAGTTGAAGCCTAGGCTTTTTTCAATCACTCTACCCCCACATCTTTAACTTTCAACGTGGGTGTCCAAGAATCTTTGGCCAGTGAATTCACTGTGATTTGTATGTTGAGTACTACGTGTATATGAAAAATATTCTCAAAGTTATTCATAGTAATAAAATATTCATTTTTTAAAGTAACTTTGAATAAAATATTCATGTAAATGATATATATAATCATATATTTGTGGGTATCTTTCCACATAAACGTGTCTCGTTCTTTTTCAAAACTATTGTATCACCGTGTCCAAGAATCAACAAATACACATGAATGACAACAAATGTTCGTGTCAGAATTTCTTCAATACTAACCTAACCCATTTATTTTACTGTATTATCGTGTCGTCTCATTTTAGGTTATTATCATATTAATGTGTCATCAAAAAAAATTTACACTTAATTAAAAATATCAAATGTATACAAATATTAATTTTTTTTGCAGTTTAAATTTTATGAAACTAATCTCTACTAATATGAGATTATTCATAAAATGTGTTTAATTTCAACTCAATTTTATTTCTCCAATTTCAAAATTTTAAAACTTATTATTTATTACTAGATTAACTCCAAAATAGTAGATGAAAAATCAAATTATCTCAAATGAAAAACAAAATGACTATATTTATTTTACATATATATATATATATATATTTTTAATTCAACTAAATGAAGTTATATAAGAGATATGAACATATATTTTTTTTTTAATTCAACTAAATGAAGTTATATATGATCTTAAAGAGAAATTTTACATGTATAAACTGATTCCATGTCTCTAATATGGAATATCGACAACAAAAATAGTGTTGGATGGCTACTAATTTGCTACCCTTTCATCATTGAAAATTTGTTTCTTCTTTTGCTTTTTTGGTTTTAATAATATAAACTAAAGTGAAAGAAGCAAAAAGAAAGATTTGGTTCCTTGCTTCTACTTCCATATTCTGAAGATTAATTATAATGTTCAACACCCCCCAAAAATAAAATAACTTTCAAATATCAAATTTTTATTACACATGTTTTTTTTGGGATAAGTTGCTAGATGACAAATTTGCAAGTAAATAAAATTATTATATATATGTTTAAATAACACTTTTATAGAACAATAAGGTTAAAATTACAAAAAAAAAATTAGAATTATTCTTTAATTTTAAATGACTTTTTTCTCCAATTTAATCATTATTTTTAATATTAAAATGAATATTTATTTTATTATATTGAAATAAAGTACAAAAGTATCATATATATATATATTACACTTTCATAGTTTAACAGAACGAAAATTGCACTGCATATTTCGTAATATATATTTTTTAAATAATTCTATATATATAAAGATATATATTATTCTTTCGTAATACATACATTGCAACATATTTCTAAAACTAATTTATATATAGATATATATAAATAATTTAATTTAATTTTATAAAATATTACGGTCAACTACTAGTCATAATATATTAGGCCAAGTTTGAGAAGTTGCCAAAAAGTCAAAAAGTTACTCAAAAAGTTAAAAAGTTATCACTATTCACCAAAAGTCAAAAATTACGGCTGCACAACTCCCAATCTTAATTTTCTCCTACACACTAATTTATATAATTTTTTAATACACATTTTTTCATAAAAAGTCAAAAAGTTAACCCAAACAAACATATTTTTTTCCTCAACTTTTTAGTCTGAAAAGACAAAAAAAACACTTATTTAGGACACTCCAAACAACCCATTATTGTAGTATCTCAACCATTATCTGTTATCATTTTCTGGAGACCACAAAATATATAAGATTAATTTTAGAAAAAATTAGAGAAAATTAGTCGAAGGTTCCTCTCTCATATTTAGTAATAGAAGAGATCCACAATATTATTTTAGGATAAATTACAAACACCTCTCTCGAGGTTTGGTGAAAATACAAATTCCCCCATGAGGTTTGAGAAATTACATCCCACCCCCTGAGGTTTATATTTCCATAACAAATTATCCCCTGAGGTTTTTATTTTCATACAGGTTTCCCTCTAATTTGTTATGCAAATTTGATCCTCAGGGGGCAATTTGTAATTTCTCAAACCTCAGGGGAGAATCTGTATTTTCACCAAATCTCGAGGGGGGTGTTTGTAATTTGCCCATTATTTTATGATGTCTAAAATCTCTTAACCCCTACACTCATATATTAAAGAGAAATTTCTCAAATCAAACCTTATTTTTTTTCTCACTCTCTCTAAACTCTCTTCCTCTGCTAAATTCACATTTTCTCCTCTCTCTCTCATCTCCGCGTCTTCCAGATTGTCCACATTCCCACCACGAAGACTTCTAGATCGTCCCTATTCCCACTACCACCGCCATGCCCATGCTCGTCTCCGATCCCTGCTTTTCTCGCCGAAAACTTCTAAATCGAATTCAGAGTTGTGATAGTGGTGGTCCGTCTCCATTATCATCATAGTCATATAGAGGGGAGGCTTCTTCCAGACCTGTCGAAGGTATACATTGGAATTGGGTTTCCATTACACTAGTTTATGTTTAATGTTTGACAATTTCTGGGTCTTAGTGTGATTGTGGCTCTATTCTTTTTCAATTACAAGATTTTTCTCTACTTCTGTCTTTAAGTAATGATTGAAAATATCATAATGGTAACTAAAAAAAGGAGACCACCTTACACGAGTAGGGACATGGATTTAGCAAAAAAGGTGTTTGATAAAATGTCAATGAGAGAATGTCTAAGGTCCCTTAAATCAATCCAAAGAATTTCTCTGGACTGAACTAGAGAAAATTTAGTCCAAACCAGATAATTTCTCTGGACCAACCCAGAGAAAATTGAGTTCAACCCAAAGAAAATTCAGTCTAAACCAAATAATTTTTCTGGACCAACTCAATTTTCTCTAAAGCAGAGCACTAGTCCTCATTGTTGTTCAGAGAAATTTGGAATTTTCTCTGCGATATGTCTACAGAAATTCTCTGGATCGAATTTTCTCTGGATAGATGTTAAGGGACCTTAGACATTATGAAAATATTGAGTGTCCTTTATGATATAAAATCTTAATACTAGAGACCTTAAAAAAAATATCCAAAAAATTACCACAAACAAATCTCTCTGTTTTATCTGCCCCAAAAAGTTATTTGCCCAATCCCAAGTACACCCATCTTAATACTACTTTAGGTTCATCTAGAAAAAAGAGTAATATTAGGAACTTATCCTTATTAATTTAGAAATTATTTAAATTTTTATTTTATAATTTAGATTTATTTTACATAAATTTCATACTACATAAATTAATTTCCATCACATAATTATCCATCCTTAATTTTCTAGGTGGATTAATCTAAATCTATAGCTTTTCTCCCAAAAAAAATCTAAGTACACCCCCAATTCAGACTTAATTTGGATAAAAATAAAAAATAATTTTTTTTTTAGAATACATAAATTAATCATAAAATTAGATAAAATTTTCTCACATATTTTATTTTATGTAAAAGGATTGTATTCTATTCTATGATAATTTAAAGATGATTACGCCTAATTTTGTAATTAAATTTATATATTTCTACAATTTTCAAATACTTTTTATGACAATATATACTTACACACGATCATTTAATTGAACAAAGAATAATGGTAATTAAGGATACAACCTTAACCAATAAAACTAGGGAGAATTACTTAATAATGGGATAAAATAAATAAATAAGGAGCACTTACGTATAGATTTTAATAGGTGCACTTATTGTCCAATAGGTCCTATAATAATTAATGGCATTTTTCATCAATACTACTAAAAGACATCATTAATTGTTTATTTTTAATGATAGTTCAAAAAATTTATCATAAAAAATGTCACTAATTATAAGTTTTAGCGAGAGTTCAAAAAATGTCACAAAAATCACTAATTTTCAACTTTCGGTGGCAATTTGAGAAATTCGTTATAGAAAAGCGTCACTAATTATAAATTTTAGTGACAATTTATAAAAATCGTGACAAAAAAAAGTTACTAATTGTCAATCTTTAGCAACATATGTAAAATATCAAAACAAAAAATTATTTTTATCGACAATTTAACTATAACTTATTTTTAATAGAATTTGATGTAAATTAAGTCAAACTATTAGGACCTATTGGTAGCTTATCCAAAAAAAATTACAAAAATACTAGAGGGTTGGGCTTTTTTGGCTAAAATAGTCACAAAAAAACAAAATAGGATTTTTAGCCCAATAAGACAAAACATCATCACATCCAACCCATAATCGTTACATTCTTTCTCTCACAAAAAGTCTAAAAAGTCAAAAAGCTAAAAAGTTAACCCATTTCTCAAACGAACCTGAGGGTGTAAGTGATTCTATGATAAGGTGCAAGTGAAAAATTATAGATGGTGCAAGCGGGTATATTTAGATTTTTTTTTTTTTTTTTTATTTGTTCTTCTATCCAACTGGTAAGTAATTCCTTCATAAAACTATTATGAGAAACTCATAAATCCCTAAAACCTACTCCCCCATCTTCAAATCATAAGTTAATGAACTTTTAACCATTTATTGAAATATAAACCCTTCTTATCCTCTCCACACATAGAGTTGATAAAAAAGGTATACAGGATGTATAATTGCAACAATAATATTATACTTATCATCTTTTTATATTATTTTTAATGTATCATCTCATGTGTTAATCAATTATTGATTCAATGAATCCCGCCACTCATGTTAATATCAAATGATATGCTAATATTATTGATTCAATAAATCCCACCACTCATGTTAATATCAAATGATATGCTAATACATGAGATAGTACATTGAAAATGATATGCATAACAAGGTGACAA